ATCAGGGAACTCCTAAGAAAGAGAAATCCTATCAATGCGGAAATGTGAAAAATCCTTTTGCCAGAAAACAAAGCTCTCTGTAGATTGGACTAGTCACAAAATACCCTAACGAAAAAAAATGTAGAAAAGGCTTTATCAAGAAGTTGTAACTAATGGAACATCAAACATTACTTTGAATATTTTGAAAGTGTGAAAATTTTCAACAAGAAATTTAAAACCTGGAGCAATTCTATCAAGTGAGAAATTATATCAAGAACATGTTCTCCTAGCAATAATCTTGAAAGTCATATTTCATATGTGATTCTAAACCTTGTATATAAAGAGTAACAGATTTTAAATCTAAATGTTGGTAATCCCTGTCCTTTATTCCCCTTCTCAGTGTGGCTAACAGTTTTTCATTTTTATTGATTACCTCAACAAAATCAGCTTTCGATTTTTTCTTGTTTGTCCTCTTTTCAATTTCATCAATTTTCATTCCAAAATTTCCTATTTCCTTTCCTCCACTTATTTTGGGCCGTATTTGCTCTTTTTTTGTAGTTACAGGTGGAAGTTAATTAAAGGTAGAAGCTGAGGTCATCAGTTGAGACCTTTATTCTTTCCTAAGCACAGAAAGTGAGTGCTACTATTTTCCAAGTACTGCTTTCAATCCATCTTACAACATTTGCAATGCGGTCTTTTCATTCGATTCAAAATACTTCCTAATTTATCCCTTTTGATTTTTAATTTGACTTATGAGTTATTTAGAAGTGTGCTATTTATTCGGAACAACTATTTGGAACTTTTTCAGGCAGCTTTGCTATTGATTTCTAATAAAATTCCATCACAAAGAACATACTTTGCACTTTAAATGTATTGATCTATTTAATGGCCCAGAGTATGACCAATATTAAATACACTTTGTAGACTTGAAAAGAATGTGTATTCTGCTGTTGTTGGTTAGAACATTCTAGAGATGACAATTAGGTCACATTGGTCATATGTGGTTCATGTCTCCAAAATCCTTATTGATTTTATTTCTACCTGCTTTATTAATTTTGTCCATTTTTCTTTACAGTTTTATTAGTTTTTTGCTTTGTGTATTTTGAATTTCTGTTATTAGAGGATTTTTTTTCTTTTCTTTTTTTTTTTTTTTTGAGACAGAGTCTCGCTCTGTCACCCAGGCTGGAGTGCCACGGTACAATCTGGGCTCACAGCAACCTCTACCTTCTGGGGTCAAATGATTCCTGTGCCTCAGGCTCCTGAGTAGCTGGGATTACCAGCATGTGCCACCATATCTGGCTAATTTTTTTTGTATTTTTTTCATAAAGACAGGGGTTTCACCATGATTGGTCTCAAACTCCTGGCCTCAAGTGATCCGTCTGCCTTGGCATCTCAAAGTGCTGGAATTAATAGACTTGAGTCACGGCACCTGGCCAGGGGCATAAATGTTTAATTCCCTTAACGAACTGACTCTTCTTATCCCTGGTAATATTCCCTCTTCTGATGTCTACTTCATCTGATATTAATATGCTCACTCTGGCATTCTTTGGTTAGTGTTCAGTACAGTATATATTTCTAATCTTTTCGTGCCTTTATACTTAAAATGGGCTTCTAGGCAATACAGAGTTAGTTTCTATTATTTAATTTAACAGTATCTGCCTTTCAATGGGGCTGTTGAGATCATTTACATCAAACTACAACATTAATGATTGGATTTAATTCTACCATCTTGTTACTTGTTTTCTATTTGTCTATTTCCATCTATCTTTTGTTCCCATTTCTTTCCTTCTTTTGAATTTTTTTTAAAGAGATGAGATCTCACTCTGTTGCCCAGGGTGGGGTGCTGTGGTGTGATAATGGCTAAGTGCAACCTCAAACTCCTCTGCTCAAGAGATCCTCCTGCCTCAGCCTCCCAGGCAGCTAGGATTATAGTCACGTGCCATCATGCCTGGCTAATTTTTTTGTTTTTTTTTGTAGAGACAGTGTCTCGTACTATGTTGACCAGGCTGGTTTTAAAATCCTGGTATCAAGCATTCCTCCTGCCTTGGCCTCCCAAAGTGCTGGGATTACAGGTATGAGTCACCACCACCAGCCTACTGCTGTCATTCTTATCTTTGTTCCTATTCATATGTGTCTTTTTCCCTAGATACACTTGTAGTTTTTTAACATACTAAAAAAGGAAGGATACTATTAAAGATGTTATTAGATTAACTGACAAAATTGAAATATAGATGGTAAATCAGATGAAATACAGTTATGAACATATATTTATGAACATGACAAGCATATTGTAGTTATGTTCAGTACAGAAGAGAAGGGCGCGGTGGCAGAAAGTGCAAAGGAGAAGGAAGACGGGGTAAAATGTTAACAATGTCAATCTAGGTAAAAGGTTTACCTTACACAGGGAGTAAGCTATTCTCTGTACTATTTTATTTTGAACTTTTGTAAGCTTTAAATTATTCAGAAAAAGGCAATCTTTAAAAAGCCAATCCAACATGCTCTGGATCCTCTCCCCTTACACAATAGGTCTCTTTCCTTCCCTCTCTCTAATCTTTCCTCCTCTTCACCAGATCATTCGGCAAAGATTGGAAACACGTTCTTCCATTTAAATAGTAATAATAATAATAAACAAACAAAACATCTCTTGATCCACAGCCACTCTGGACGTAATTAAAGACTCATCTACTGACATCGTCACACTTTATCATCACTTTCCACTTACCTTCAACCCACTCTGCCCTCACCACACTTTGAAACGCCTCTTGCTAAAGTCACCAAACACCTCCAGGTGGCAAACTCCAAAGTATACTCATCAGGCTACCTCTCCACTCAGGAGCATTTGATAGTGCTGACCATACCTTCCTCATTAAAATATCTACTTCTCTTGGCTTCTGATCAAACACTCCATTTTCCTCTTGCCCCTCTGTCACTCCTAAGTCTCCTTCGCCATTTCTTCATCTTCCATCTGACTTCCACTGGCTAGAGTTCTTAACATTTTCAGTCTACTCTATCTCTCTAGGTGGTCTCATCCATTCTCATGATTTTAAAATCTATCTGCAGATTGATGACTCCCACATATCTTCAACCCAGAACTTACTTCTGAAATTCATACAGTCCGATTGCTTTGACACAGTAGGCTGACACTTCTCAAACTTAACATATTCAAAATTGAACTCAGTCTCCCTGACCCTCAAATATTGCTCGCCTCTGCCCCCACCCCCACCACCCCTCTGCCTGCCTGCCATCATCCCTTTTCAGTAGGTGCCATGTTCATTCATCCAGCTGCACAAGTCAGAAAACCTCATATCATTTCTGAATGTTAAAATTATAAGTGATATTTTTCCTTTATGCACTTTAACAGTTTAAAATTTCTCTGTGATAAGCCAATTTATAAATAATCAAAATTAAAAGAAGACATACAAATGGCAAACAGGCATATGAAAAGGCACTCAGTATCATTGATCAGAGAAATGCAATCAAAACTACAATAATATCATCTCACCCCAGTTAAAATGGCTTTTATCCAAAAGACAGGCAATAACAAATGCAGGCAAGGATGTGGAGAAAAGAGAGCCCTCATAAACTGCTGGTGGGCATGCAAATTAGTACAATCACTCTGGAGAACCACTTGGAGATTCCTCAAAAAACTAAAAAAAGAGGTACCATATAATTCAGCAATCCCGCTGCTGGGTATATATCCAAAAGAAAGGAAATTAGCATATAGAGGAGATATCTGTACTCTCCATTACTGTTTGTTGCAGCACTGTTCACAATAGGCAAGATTTGGAAGCCTCAGTGTCCATCAACAGATCAGTGGATAAAGAAAATGTGGTACATATACACAATGAAGTACTGTTCAGCAATAATAAAGAAATAGATCCTGTCATTTGCAGCAACATAGATGGAAATGGGAGGTCATTATGTTAAGTGAAATAAGGCACAGAAAGTCAAACACTGCATATTCTCACTTATGGATTCTAAAAATCAAGACAACTGCACTCATGGACAAAGAAGTAGAAGGATGGTTACCAGAGGCAGAGAAAGGTACTGGGTGCGCTGGGAAGAGGTGTGGATGGTTAATGGATGCAAAAAAAAAGAAGGAATAAGACCTAGTGTTTGATAGTACAGCAATGGTAAGTATAACTTAATTGTACATTAAAAAATAACCAAAAGAGTATAATTGGATCCTTGATAACATGAAAGATAAAGGCCTGATGGGATGGATACTCCATTCTCCATGATTTGATTATTAATACCTAGTATGTGATAGCACAACAGGGTGACTATAGTCAAAATAGTTATACATTTTAAAATAACTAAAGAGTGTAACTGGTTTGTAACACAAAGGATAAATGTTCAAGGGAATAGTTATCTCATTTCCCATGATGTGATTATTACACATTATATGCCTATATCAAAACATGTCATGTACTGCCTCTCTCTCTCTCTCTCTCTCTCTCTCTATATATATATATATATATATATGCACCCACAAAAATTAAAAATTAAAAAAAAAATAAAAACAACCAAACCCTTTCTTTTGGATGAGAAACAAAACAAAGATGTGCTTAAATATAATGCTATACAGTTTCTGTTTTTAATCGTCATTTTGTGAGTGTCTGTATTAGTCCATTTTCATGCTACTGATAAAGACATATCCAAGGCTGGGCAATTTACAAAAGAAAGGTTTAACGGACTTCAGTTCTACGTGGCTGGGGAGGCCTCACAATCAATGGCAGAAGGCAAGGAAAAGCAAGTCATGTCTTACACGGATGGCAGTAGGCAAAGAGAGAGCTTATGCAGGGACTCCCCTTCCCCTTTATAAAGCCATTGGATCTCATGAAACGTATTCAGTATCACAAGAACAGCATGGGAAAAACCCACCCCCATTATGCAATTGCCTTCCACCAGGTCCCTCCCACAACACATGGGAATTCAAGATGAGATTGGAGTGGGGACACATCCGAACCATATCAGTGTCTAAATAAGGTACTAAAAATTAACATTAACTTTCATATTACCAGAAGTATTTGGATTTATTGAAGACATCACAGAATCCACTTCTATCTAGAAAAGAGGAAAAAATAACAGAACATGTAATTTTATCAAATGTTTTCACAGCGCAAGTTCTTAAATCTTCGGGTGGGAATAAGGATCTATTTTTATAAGAAACCAAGTTTATTGAACCAAGGAGACAAGTGAGGATACACAACAGTTAAAACAGTCATTTTGCTTTTCCATCAACATCTATAAAATAGCAGACACTAATCTGCTAGCCTCTAATGGCCCCCAAAACTTTATTCCATTGACCAAAAGAGTTTAACCACAGAAAATCAATTTGGCTGTCCCATATATAATATAATCTAACAGGCAGCCTTTCTACTTTAGACAAATACAAACAATTGTTATAATGGGCTTGGTGGCTCTATTTTTTTATTTTTTTCCTGGTTATAGAAGTACCACATGATTGATGTAGAAAGCACAAAAAATTCAAAAAATTATGAAGAAAATTGAAAAATCAGCTATCCAATGAAAACCACTGTTATCATTTTAGACTAATCAGCTTTTTCCCTCTATGCATTTTTAAACATTTGAGACTTTAAACACTGTACAGAAAGCATGAGTACCTGCTTTCAATGAATGATAAAATATAAGCCCTTTACCACACTTTTAGGAGGGCATTGGAGTATTAGAATCTTGGCAGGGTCTGACATAACTTCTCCACTTCTAGTCTCAAACTCTTGCCAGTCTTGGATTCCCTGCATTCTCCTGGTTCCTCTTGTCCCTTCCAAATGGTTCCCAAGCCATTTTCTTCAAGTCCCCCGCCTCCCCTTAAATGCTGGTATTCCCTAACGTTTTATCCTCAGACCACAACTCTTCTTATTCTGCATAGTCTTCCTGGGCAATCCCATCCAGCCTCATGGTTTGAGCAGCCACCTGGAAACCAAGGAGCCCCAAGACTATCTCCATCCCTACGCTTTCCACCCAATTTCAGATTCCTACATCTCAGGGAGGCAGATCTAACAGCAGATTCTCACCACCATAACCTGAATAGCCAGCACAGTATTTAACAAGTAAATGCACCTGGAATGCCCATAGCTGCCTCAAACTCAATGTATTCCAATAGAAACTCACTAACTTCCTCTAAAACTACTCTTAAATTTTCTCTTAATTGGTGGCATCGCTATCCCTTCACTCCTGGTGGTCATGTCACTCTTACCACCACTGCATCCAGTCAATCATCCGGGCCTAACTTGTCCACCACTCACCAAGTGCTCCTAGATACTTATCAGAGTAGTCTATCTTCTCTAGTCTAAATGACCACTAGGACTGTTATAGTCATTACTAGAATTAGGCCTTGCTTCTTGGTTCCCTTCACTTTGTTTTTCAATCTCTTCTCTTTCTTGGCATCTGTCACAGTTGTATGTCTCTCCACATTAAACTCTGAACTGCTTTGAAGTAGAGACTGTGCTTCATTCATCCTTATATCACTAGCAACTAGCAAGTATTCCTTTTATTAAAGAGGAACACTTAATAAATTTCACTATGTATGGGTGGGCACGGTGGCTCACACCTGTGATCCTAGCACTTTGGGAGGCTGAGGTGGGTGGATCACTTGAGGTCAGGAGTTGGAGACTAGCCTGGCCAACATGGTGAAACCCCAACTATACTAAAAATACAAAAATAAATAAATAAATAACCAGGTGCGGTAGTGTGCATCTGTAGTCCCAGCTACTCGGGAGGCTGAGGTGGGAGAATTGCTTGAACCTGGAAGGTGGACGTTGCAGTGAGCCTAGATCACGCCACTGAACTCTAGCCTGGGTGATAGAGCAAGACTCTATCTCAAATAATAAATAAATAAATTTCATTATGTAAACAATTGTATGAATGTATAAGTGATTTATTATGTAAGTATTTTACTTCTTCATGATCAGCAATCAGTAAATATTTCATTTGCTCAAAAGCAATATTCAAAAATTAACCCCAAACCTCAAACTAGTATAAAAATCTGTTGAATTTCACAGAAATTATATATTGTCACTTGTGTAAGAAAAGTTCATTGTACAAATGACAAAGTGTATAAGTGATATGCTATAAATAAATAATAAATACTGATTAGTGACCTGTGGTTAGTAAATAGTTCATTTGCTTAAAAAATAAGATAGAAAACTTCACCCCAGTATGAAAAGTAAAATCTGTTAAATTTCATGGAGCCTATGTACAATAAGTTACATCACTGTAACTGTCATTAAATTCCTCATTCTAAAATTGAAACCATATAGACTCAAGGGTGATAAAGACAAAATGAGAAAAATTATTTCAGGTGAATCCAAGTTAAATACAATGCTTCACAGACTGACTCTATTTAGCTGACCTGCCTCCAGCTGAAATGATTACAGGTTAACAGGAGAGCTGCAATTTCTAAGAGTCAGCCCTGATTGCTTCTTTGAGCTCCGTAATAAGCTTGACAGTAACTAAGCATCCCCTCATAGTTGAGCCACTCTGAGCCCACCAGGGTTGTTCAACCAACTTGGGTCAAGAGAACATATTAAGATTTACTGTGCATCATAATTTCACATTAAATATGTTCTGTTGATGCAAATAGGGTGGGGAAGCGTTACATCACAGGGTCCCTGGCTTTGCTGGGCTTTCAATCTGGCAGAAAGGTAGAGCCCACTCATGGGGAACAGCTGGGCCATAATTAATCGCCAAGCTGTCTGGTCTAATGAGAGTGGGGGGTTGGCATTCCAGGCTGAGCCCTGAGTGCTCCCTTTGCCTGATGGTTGCAGTTCAGTTTCTTGAATCTAGACAATATCTTGACTCTAATTCCAGCTTAACAAGAAGGGCACTTTCTCTAGAATGAATGTAACAGGTAAGCAGAAAAGCATAAAGACAGGGGTGAACAGAAAACTTGTCCTACTAAAGTAGGAGGTTTGTGGAGGCTCAGCTCAATTCTCATTACTGGTGAATTGGTGCAACCTTTTCTCGAGAGCAATATCTAACAAAATTCTAAATGTACGTATCCCATGACCCAGCAATTATACTTCTAGGAACTTATTCCACAGATATGCAGCCGCAAGGACATAAATATGTGTATCATTGCAGCAATGTTTGTAGGAATAATAATTAAAAAAAAAAAGGCTAAATAACCTGAGACAGGAACCTGGGTAAATAGAATATGCAACTATATTTTAAAATGTGTTAAGGTACGTGCTTTTAGGTCGATATACTGTTAAATGAGAAAAGCAAGTTAAAGTAGGCACAATATTTACCCATTTATGTTTTCAATAAAAGATTATGCATTCATGTTTGTCATGAATAGAAAATTTCACAACTACACAAAAAACTGTTAATAATGGTAATCCCCTATAAGTGGGACCCTCTTGTAGGCAGGGAGGGGATTTTATGTTCAACTTTATACCTTTCTGCACTGTTTTAATTTTTTGACTGTGGATATATTCTATAAACAAAGCAACAAAAGGAAAGCTAAAGAGACTCTGTGTCATGTCCTATGTAAATTTCTTCTGTTACCGACACTCCCCATTCAGCCTTGCCTCTTGGCACCTCTCTAGCATCTTGTATTTATTATAGTTATTAGCAGCCTGGTGGTGAGATAGGCTTGTGCCAGTCGTATAGATTTCTACTTCATCTCTGGGTTGAGGTGTCAAGAGGAAACTAAAATTCAGCACTGGAAATATCTCTGAAATTGCTTATAAAGCAGCGATTGACTTTATAAACACCCTAAGCTAGCCCTGTGAATGTTTCTTAGGATCCATTCACTATTGATCTTCTACCCCATCCCCAAATATATAAGAAAGCTCTACCTTGGAGGGCTTGTACCCAAACAGCATTACGACAGCAACTTTAAAGTCCTCTCTGCTGAGATATCCTTTGTGATCTTCATCACATGCTTTAAATACCTGAAGAACATTGAATATCTTTAGTTAATGAGACAGAAACGGTTTCTTATTTTTATTACTAGTTGATTATATAGTTTGGACCTGGAAAATCTAAAACTTGGCCCAGCCGTAGAGTTTGAAAACGGAATTTCCTTGTACCAATATTAATTCTCAAGAAATCTTAAAAATGGGCTAAAATTTCCCTCAAGAAAGTGCAAACGAGTTAACCGCTAGGCTGACGCAAATTAATTCATTTAGACCACTGAGATAAATTCTGCCCAAAATTCAGTCCTGGAATTAGGAAGGTGAAGCAAAGGGGCTGGTTTTGAAAGGCGGGAGGAGAGATGAAGATTCGAGATTACCATTAATAGACCATGCAGAGGGAAAGGAGAAGGAAGTTGGAGGTAGCCCTAGTCATGGGCCGGGAGCCAGGAGCCCTGTAGCTCCGTAACCACGACCCTTTGGACAGGCAGCTCAGATCTGGTCTGTACGACTGGGCAGAGTGAGACCGGCGGGGAAGGAGCGAGAGGCCCGGGCCAAGCTGAAGCCCGAGACTCGGTCGACCTCCCGACACCTACTTTCACCCACATCCTGTGTTCCGAGGGACTGGGTTCCCACGTCCGCGACCTGGCCACAGCCTCAGAGAAGAGCATCGCGACAGCAACAACCGAACCGCAGCAACCCAACCACTCACCAACAACTGCCCTAGCCTGGCTGGCAGCCTACCACGGCCACGCCCACCGCGGCTCAGGAAGCCGAACTTCACCGCGCAACTCCGACGTCTCCTCCCATTGGACAAGCTGCCAGCCACTCGCGTTAATCCCGCAGGGCTATTGGCCAGAGCCTTTGTTTAATCAGTTTCCTTGGCACCGCCCGGGGCGGTGAAGTTCCCAGCCTGCCTTCCGCGCTTGGCTCCACCCGCTGCCCTGTCCCCTTCGCTCCTCGCGCGCGGCTGTAAATCCAAGCGCTTTTAGGTGCTGGTTCAATGTGTCCTGGTTCGGGATTTCCTTCATTCTCTCCCTCCATCTTGCAGTAAGTTAATTTTAATCGTTTAGATCGATGGCACTATGCTAAACATTATATGCAGACAAAAGGAGTGTACACAAGCATAAAAAGAACCAAACGAAGAGCCAAGTCCAGGATTCTCGTTCAGATCAGCAAGTCATTGGGATCGAGCACCCAGGATAGCTACTCTGTGTGTTCCGCCCTCCAGACAACCCTAGCACCTTGCGCTGTGCCTAGCACAAAGTAGGTCTTCAATGAACGAAACAAGATGTTATGTTCGCACAAATGTATTTCACTCAATCCTCTGGAAGAGATGCCTAGGTTGAAAAACATTTCAATAATAAATACCATAAACAGCACCAAGCCCAAATTTCATAGTAAACATGTTTATTAAAGGCAAGGAATGTGGGGAGAGTTCGGTTTCTCAGAAGATTTTTAAAGAACGCAACTGTTTCTAAGTAGCAACAGACATTCGAGGTTCTGAGTCCAATGGGAACTCATTTAACTTTTTATTTTACAGCCGATTTTAAAGTCTGCACCCATCCCCTCCCAGGACACAGGTTTCCTTGCAGCTGCCTTTAACCTAAGCCTATCCTCTCTCCACTTTAAACACCGCTGCATGGATCCCTGGGAGCCTGAGCCATGATAATCCTATAAAGAGGGTGAGTCTTGCTAATAGTTAACTAGAGAGAAGTTAGGGGACGGCTTTCTGGTTTCCCTCTCGTTTTAAGAAGTCTCCGGAAAGTGAGCCGAGAGCTGGGGGAGAGTTTCCCGCCCCGTCCTAGGGAAACACCCGGCGGACTTTAGGACCCAGCAGTGGATTCCCGGAAGGGGCCGGGCCTCCGGCCAGCGCCGGTGCCCAAAGGGTTTGAACTGTGCGCATGCGCAATAGCCGCCGGTGGGGCGGGATCCGATTTGAGTGTGTGCTGCGCGCCTCAGGTAGGTGCTGTGCGACCGGGGGCGCGAACTCGGCGCGGTTTGTCGCGGGCTGCGGTTTGGCCCAGGGTCCTGCTCCTGGTCTGGTCGCGGTTCGCGGGCTGCTGGAATCCGGCAAGGCTGGAAATGGAACGCGAGGAAATGGCGCGACCAGGAAGATGGGACAGGGTCGCCTCGGCCCCGGGGCCTCGGTTTCCTCCCATCACAGCGCTTCAGGGGGCGCGCACCGGCGTCGCAGGGACCCGAGTTTTGCCCGGGCGCGACGCGAGGGATCTCTGCTCAGGTTCTTATTCCCAGACCTAAGCTCACAGGTGCGTGGTCCCAGAAAGTGAGTAGGAAAGTGCCCACCACGTGCCAGGCGGTTAAGCTTTCTGTGGTCGATTTCCCAGTGTAGGGGGACCGTCACCGTAGTACAGAGTTGTCCTGGGGGTGAAGCGAGTTGACACCCGATGAGGCGCTTCGAAGCATGCCTGACTCCAGGCGAGCATGCAGTCAAGTTAGCAGCAGCTGCTGTCATCACGTCCTCACGTTCCTAATCCACGCCGGCAGCAAGAGCCCTCTCACTTCTTTGTCTCCAAACGATTCTCTACAGGTTTTAGCACACATTTGTATTAAAAAGGCAAATCGACGGCGGGGCGCGGTGGCTCACGCCTGTAATCACAGCGCTGCGGGAGACAGAGGGGGAAGATCACTTGAGATTAGGAGTTCAAGACCAGCCTGGCCAACATGGTGAAACCCCATTTCTACAAAAATTAGCTGAGCATGATGGCGGATGCCTGTAATCCCAGCTCCTCGGGAGGCTGAGGCGGGAGAATTGCTTGAAACTAGGAAGTGGAGTTTGCAGTGAGCCAAGATCTAGCCATTGAACTCCAGCCTCAGTAACAGAGTAAGACTCTGTCTACAAAAAAAAGGACATATTGGACTTCTTCTTCTTAAAGCCCTCAATGGGGCCCCATTGTTCTTAGCATAAAATCCAATGTCTTTAGCAAGTTTTCTCCCCTCACCCCCTTTATCCTGAACCACTGCCTGCCTTGCCTAAGTCGTTTTTTATGACCTCTCTTACCGCTGCAGGCTGGGTTCCCTCTGCTTGGAATGCTCTTCACACCATCATTTAGACAGTAGGTTCCTTTTGGCCCTCCGGGTCTCATTTATGTCACTTCTTAAGCATGTTCCAAAGTAAGGCCACCCTATTTTTTGTCTCATAAAATGTAATGAATGTCTAGTCATCTTGGCTATTACAGTTTGTATGTGTGGGTCTCTCTCTTCTGCTCTGAAATTATGCTCTGCTAAGGTAGAAGCTGTATGTCGTTAACGCTTCAGTCTCAGTTTTTGGCACATAATAGCTGCCCAGTAAGTTGTTGAATGAATGAAGTCTGGGGGGTAAGCATGATAATCCATTTTACAAACTAAAAAACTGAGGCTTAGCAGTTAACTAATCTGCCCAAGTGCACATTTATTCCCTAGTGAGGGCTGGGTTTGAGACAAGGGCCCATGTTTGCCTATCACTGGCCACAGGGGACTCATCTAAGGAGCCTGGTCCCAGGCCCAACTGATAGTCTTTAAGCTCCATGAGAAGGAGCTGCTAGAGGTGAAAGAGAAATGCCCCAGCTGGGTCTGGTATAGTGGGGAGAGAGGAAATACTAGCAGCTCTAAATGGAGTACCCTTTCATGTCCACAACATGTTTTAAAGTCCTTAATAAAAGCGCTAACAGTGCCCTGAGCTAGCACTTGGTGGGAAATATTCTTTAGGTTTTTCATGTTAGTGCAGTGTTCGCCCAATTTCAATCACTCACCTGCCTTTTTCTCAGTTTGTTTTGTTCTCTTAACACATATGATGCAGGATTTTTCTAGCGCTGCTTTGCCAGCTGGAGACCTCCGGCCCTGAGCTGGCCACAGGAAGTGCTCTGCCCAGTCGGCCTGGCAGGGTGCGTTTGGCTTTCATCCTGGCCCACATCCTGTGGCCAGGGTGACTGCATGCTCAGCCCATGAGGAGCGGGTATGTGAATGAGTGAGCCTGGAGGCCCAGCTGGCTTCTCCAAGTGCTGGCCCAGGTATAGGCTCCATGCAAGGCTTGTGGCTGGCCCGGGCGTATGGTAAATGACTCCGGCAGCAGACTCATGTCCAGACAAGGGGGACACAGTGATGCCCAAACACTTGGAGATGCCAGGCAAATAGGGATGAGTTAACAGCTCTTTTAGTCCCACCGTCTGCAGCCCAGTGAATGGGGGGGTGTGGCAGCCAGCAGCTCCCTCTCCCATTGCTCCACCAGTGGAACTAAGTGCTACAGGATTATAGCTCTATTTGCTGTACTCGCTGTTTAGCAGGTCCCAGTTTCTTGTTCCACATCCAGAAATAATGAGGTTAGGCTGACAACCAAAGGGTAGAAGGGCAGAGATGAGTTTTATTGAGCAGTGAACCAGTTCTCAGCAGAGAGAACCCTAAGTGGGCAGCCCCTACCTGAAGTCAGGTATGCCCCTGCCCCCACCCAAAGGTGGGCAGTTCCTGGGTTTGGCTGAGGCCAGGGCTTTTGTGGGCTCAGAATGGGGAAGTGTACACTGATTGGTTTATGAGTATACAAAAAAGGCTAAAATAAAGGCACCACTTCAAAGGTGGGCATGACAGTATAAAAAACTAATTAGGGAAAAGTAGGTGTCTGTAAAGTAGGTAGAGGGTGGGGATTAATCAGAGGAAAGTGTGCCAAGTGGGAAGAGAGGTTCTCAGTCTGGTCCGTGGATCTGTCCGAGACTTGTAGCTTGGCTTTCAGGCTTTAAACTGTCTTTGGTTTGCAGGGGGGGTTTCATTGGGGACCTGCCCCTATCTGCCTAGGGATTTGTCTGCCTCCTTTTGCTATTACATAGACTATCATACACTGAGTGTTTTTGTTTGAATCCAATCATTCTTTTACATAAACTGTATTTTGCTATTTCAAATATAACATAGCCATAAGTTACCTTCTGTTGATGGTAAACAAAACTCTTGGTGCCTACAGAAGAGCCCAGACCTGCTATTTGTTCAAAATCAAGATTAAAAGCATTTCTACAACACTACAACTTTCTTCTTGATTTAAACAGGGAGTTTGGATCGGAATGAAAAGGGAGGTTCTTTCATAATGTCAGATCCCAATCACTTCCACCTTAGGAAACACTGTGCTGTCCTGATTGAGTGCTAGGATTCAGAATCAACATAGCTATATTGCATTCTCTGATTTGGTACCACTCACAAAAAGTGTGACTTTAGATTTATGCTGTACCAAGCACTGCCCAGGCAGGGAAGACAGATGATAAACAATTGAAGGAAAGCTCTTGGGTTCTACATTTGTAAAAACTGTATGACTTGATTACAAAACACTCTGGAATGCTGGGCACCAGATCCTGTGCGAGAGGAGTAATTCTGATACTGGTGACCATCCAGTCATTCAAAGTAAAAGTTTGATATTAGTGTTTACCAGCAGTCCTTTTCCAACTGGCTGCATACCTTGATTTCATAAAGAGATTAGTAAGCTGCTACATTAAGCTGCTACACTTAATTGCAAGACACAGTTTTATGAGTGTATTGCACTAAATTATAACCCAATGCATTGTATTGTGTTGTCTTTAATAAGCAACTCTGGCATATTTTTGAGTGTCAGCAAGTTCAAAACTTTATGTATAGAGCAGAACCCCAAGAAAGGCTTTGTTCTCTAGAAAATGTCTTTTTAAAAGCTTTTATTTTTTACCCTTTTGTCCTACTTTGTTGGAGAGAATTCCACTTCCATGTGGCTTTAGAAAATGTAAATAATGATAAAACTAAAAAACCTTTGAAATTCTCTAATTCACAGAGTTGCTGAGGATTTTACCTACAGAATTCTAATGGTATGGGAATTCCATTTTATGGTATAAGTAATATTTTGATGCCACGAAAGAAATAGCACTCAAATATAAATCCTCTCAGCAAGGCAGTTTACCTCATAGAAGGTTGGGCCTCACTGATGGAGCAATGGTGAGCACATACCTGGACAAGGAGGAAAAGGGATACTTATTCCTTATGGTCATCACCCCTACTGGTGCGTCATTCTCCTGTTGGCGAGGGTTAGACCACACAGGCTAGACTAATCCCGATTGGCTAGTTTTAAGAGAGCAGGAGTACAAGCTGGAGTGGCAGGGTGGGTGGTTTGGCAGGAAGGACTGTAACAGGCAGGTCAGGACAGGTAGCCAGGGGTGATCTAGGTCAAAGCAGGTGACCAGGATGAGTCAGGACAGAGCTGCGGACCAGGGAACAGATGTGAAAAACTGATTAGAACTGGTGGAGAAGGTTGTTTACTGAAACTATAAGGAAGTTCAACTTTAAAATGAAGGACAAGTAACTGAACATACTGACATACTGATTCTTTGAAATTTAGAACTCACTGTATCTAATATTTATATAACACAGTCAACCACATTTGTTTTTTTGTTTTGTTTTGTTTTGTTTTGTTTTTTGAGACGGAGTTTCACTCTTGTTACCCAGGCTGGAGTGCAATTGCGCGATCTCGGCTCACCACAACCTCCACCTCCTGGGTTCAGGCAATTCTCCTGCCTCAGCCTCCTCAGTAGCTGGGATTACAGGCACGCGCCACCGTGACCAGCTAATTTTTTTGTATTTTTAGTAGAGACGGGGTTTCACCATGTCGACCAGGATGGTCTCGATCTCTTGACCTCGTGATCCGCCCGCCTCGGCCTCCCAAAGTGCTGGGATTACAGGCTTGAGCCACCGCGCCCGGCCTAGTCAACCACACTTGTTATTCACCTGGGGAAGAGATGATGATGGTAGCCTCTGAAGATTCTGCTTCTGCTTCTAAGAGGGAAGCTGAATCCATTCTCACCAAAAAGCTGTTTGCTTTAGAAAGCAGATATGAAGGTATCTATAGAGAACAGCCTGAGGACTGTAATTGAAGACTCTATTACTAAGCACCTTGCTTTAGAGCTGTTTTAGAATTCAAAGGAAGTGAGAGCTGACTTTCAGAGAGTGGTTTTTCCTAGGGTGGTTCTTTTGTTCCTAAATAACTTTTTAAAGTCACAAAACTGTAGCCAGTGAAATAGTTTCTTCAAAGTGAATTGTAACAGCTTAAACACCTCTATCTAGAAACCTTCAGACTCTAGAACACTAGAGGAACCTAAGGTGTGTGTGTGTGTTTAAACCCAGAAGGATTAAAAAACACATTTTAAAAAACACCTCTGAGCTGCTTAAGTAGGTGTTCAGTGGTCAATCAGTCTAATCTCTTTCATGGAGGCAACTGGGCACTCAGACCCCTTTAACCATGACAATACAATTCTACAAACCCAGTTACCTCGTTTCTTAACCCTTAGCAGTTTAGAAATAGTTTAGGGAAAATATTCCTATGCTATGAGTTTTAACAACCCCTAGAAGTGGGCTGGACAGAGTGTAGAAATGAATAGAAAACTTTTAGAAAGCAGATATGAAGGCTCAAAAGAGCCAGTCTGGGGTCACTATTATAGGAGCAGGTGACCCCAGCCCTTTCTGCAGTCTGTAGGCTTTGGCTGTGAGATAATGTTCATGCCTGGTGGGGTAATAGTGACCCTGAGCCATGAAGAACACAGGGCCAGATTATTGTCTTGATGCATTCTTGCATAATAGTCCCTGAAATGTGTAAGTTACAGAAGGCTTGCTTGACTTGACTGGTAGCTAATTGAAAAAGATTAAATGAGAAATTGTCAAAAGGGATAAATACATTTAAAATAGGTGTGGCTTTTTTTGTTTGTTTGTTTGATTGTTTAGCTGTGTTCACTGAAAAATCATGAGATCTATATGTTTAGAAAGGAGAACTTCTTATAAAGGGTTGTAGCCTGCAGCATGGCTGACAGGCTGGGCAACACAGCCTCAGGCAGAGACCTTTAACAGCATCCCAGGGAGGAGAGGGTAGAACTGGGATTTATGCTTAATGGGTTGGCAAGTATACGTATTCAACAGGTGTGGGAGGAGCTATGAATATTCAGCAAGGGGGGCCCATGTGCACCTGTGATGAGCAAACATTCTTGTTTTGTGCATCTCATGTTCACTTTGGGATGGAGCCTTAACATTTAAATGAATTACAATTAGGCCCCCTATGTCAAAAGGTGAAGGAGGGACCTGAAGGCACAGTGCTCAACCTCTGAGGACTGATCAGAACCAGTCTGTGGTTTCTTATCAGGAGAAAGTTGCTGAAGTTGGTCTGTTGTCCAGTGACAGCTGTGGTGATGGCCTGTGGAATCAGAGGGGTCAGTGAGTCAAGCATATATCTGGCAGTAGGTAAGCTGCAATTGTTTAGATATTACTTATCTCCAGGCCAGTGCTTGTTTAGCTGCTAAAGAAAAAAAGAACCTTGGGGCGGGTAGATCATAGTTTATTCTTTAAGGGTAGCATTTTGTGATTTAACCCTTGCTTGGCATGACCATAGGTCTTATTTATGACTTGATGTCGTATTGCCACAGAATCTATTCTGTCAGTCTTATGATCTCTGGTCAGTTGTGTTTAAACAGCAAAAGGGCGGGGATATAACAGGCATGTCTGAGCTCCCATCCCATCATGGCCTGGAACTCGGGTTTTTAAGGTTTCTCTGGGGTCCCCTTGGCCAAGAATTTTATTTCTCATGCAGAGACATATGCATATGTACTCATTTGCAAATCTTTTGATGTAGAATTAATGTCGAATTCCCTTTAGGGGGAATGTGGGTCTTGTGAAGGGAGTGTCACCATCTTGGTTTACTCAATGCATCTTTTTCAGCCTCTTTAAAACAGCAGAAACTTAAAAGATATTCTGTTATTCTGAGCACAGACTATTGAGTTTTGTAATTTTCCTCTGGGTCTTGTGCTAAAATGTTAAAAGTGTCACACTGAGGAACTGGTTTTTAGCTATCTGGAAAGTCTACTTAGTCCTTAACCATTGAATTGATGAGATTATGTAGTAACACCAAAAGTGTCTCTTGCATGTACTTTCCTTTTCTCAGAACAAGGAAGTAGAATTTGACTTTCTGGCTTAAAAAATAAAAATGTGTTGCTTTAGTACAAGTCATCTCCGTGCAGGTTTTAGTAGATTTATGATGTGGCCAATGGGATATCTTGAGTTAGTTGGGTCCTCATAAAAGTGGTATAAATAATGTATACATCTAAGTGGTCATTTGCCATTCCTCTTGAAAACTTTAAGCTTTATGGTAAATGGGTTGTCTTTTTGGAAGTAAGACATAATCACTGAAAACCTGTGGGTGCCTGTGCTTAGATAAAGGCTAGGCTTGTAAATTCCAATTTGACCTTAAGCATTTGAACATAGATTAAATTGACCTTAACCCCAAACGCTTCTTGGAAGCGTCAGGGTCAAGAATGAATGTTTGGTTGGTTTCAACACCCTTTCCTAGGACATCTAAGAACAAGGTTTAGACTGAAAGACAAAGCCAGGCTTGGTGGTTCATACCTATAATCCCAGCACTTTGGAAGTCCAAGGTTGGTGGATTGCTTGAGTCCAGGAGTTCAAGACCAGCTTGGGCAACAATGGTGAAACCCTGTCTCAACCAAAAAAGAAAAGAAAGAAAGAAAGAAAACTTAGTGGGAGGGGGGAAGGTAGACAAAGGGAATCTGATAGCGGATTCTGGTAATTTGCCTCTAAACACCTAAAAAGCAGCTGACGTTAAGTGGTTCAGCCTCTGCAAGGTGTCAGCTCAACTGACAGGGAAGTTGAGAGCAATAAAGTTATTTTGCCAGTAGCCTAATGAATGGGAAATGCTGATGTTTCCGCCTTTCATTTCCAGGAGTGTAATGTCTCAGGAAGGCGATTATGGGAGGTGGACCATATCCAGTAGTGATGAAAGTGAGGAAGAAAAGCCAAAACCAGACAAGCCGTCTACCTCTTCTCTTGGGCGAGGAGCAGCAAATGAGCCTAGGTACACCTGTTCCGAGGCCCGGAAAGCTGCACACAAGAGGAAAGTATCACCTGTGAAATTCAGCAACACAGATTCAGTTTTACCTCTCAAATGGCAGAAAAGCGGTTCCCAGGAGGACCTAGGTTGGTGTCTGTCCAGCAGTGATGATGAGCTGCGTCCAGAAAGGCCTCAGAAGCAGGCTGAGAAAGTGGTGATCAAAGAGGAGAAGGATATCTCTGCTCCCAATGATGGCGCTGCCCAAAGAGCTGAAAATCATGGCCCTTCCACCTGCGACAGGCTCAAAGAGGAGGAAGAAAATGAACACGAGACATCAGGGGAGGGCCAGGACATTTGGGACATGCTGGATAAAGGGAACCCCTACCAATTTTACCTCACTAGAGTCTCGGGAATTAAGCCAAAGTATAACTCCGGAGCCCTCCACATCAAGGGTAAGAAGATGCTGGGTGTCAAGGAGCTATTGAATTGTACTTGAGAGTCTCCTCCATGAAACAAGGAGGGCAGCCTAGAATGATTTCTGAGAACTCTTCTTTGTGTTCTTAACTACTTTTGGGAAAAAAATTCTTGACAGGCAAGTGCATTAGTTTGACAGCAGACTGTTAACTTAACTTGGGCAGAGGATATGTTCTCACAACCCTGTAGCTCAACCCCTTGTATCCCTTAGCACAATGTTTAGCATTATTTAACGTTTTTTTTCCCCCCGAGACGGAGTCTTGCTCTGTAACCCAGGCTGGAGTGCCGTGGCATGATCTTGGCTTACTGTAACATCTGCCTCCCGGATTCAAGCAATTCTCCTGCCTCAGTCTCCTGAGTAGCTAGGATTACAGGTGCATGCCACCATGCCTGGCTATTTTTTTTTTTTTTGAATATTTATTAGAGACAGGGTTTCACAGGTTGGTCAGGCTGGTTTTGAACTCCTGACCTTGTGATCCGCCCGCCTCGGCCTCCCAAAGTGCTGGGATTACAGGCATGAGCCACCGTGCCCAGCGTATTATTTAACTTTGAGGTTAAAGATTAAGCTTTATCAATTACACTTTATCAACAAAGTAACAAATACTTAACAACAGTAGTTCTCCGTGGGCCTAGGACCAGCAGCCTCAGCATCACCTGGAGCTTGTTAAAATGCAAATTCTCAGACCCCATTCCAGGTTTGTTAAATTAGACTCTGAGGGTGAGACCCTGCAGTCTGTTTTCAGGAGCCCTTCAGGGGATTCTACTGCCCAGTCAGGTTTGAGAACCACTGTTTAAAAGCCTGGTTTTGGCTCTCGGTGAAGAAGGGGGGAAAAAAAGTGCCTGAGTGCAAATAGATGTTTCATTTGTGGATCAAAAGATGGTCTTCGTTTACTCTCCTTAATCCTCAGGGAGCACCTGCAGGGGGAACAGCAGGAGCTCTAGAGTCTGCTTTCTGGCTTCACCACTCATTTGCTGTATGAATTGTTAACACAGGACGTAACATTCTCTGAATTTCAGTTTGTTCATCTTTAAACTGGAAATGCAGAAAAACGGGAGCAAATGCATGAAGTGACCAATGTAATATATGCACATGGCAGATGCACACAATAAACATTATTATTCTTATTTCACATTTTTTTCTTGTCCCATATTTAAGAATAGTAATGTTCACTGTCAGCAGTTTATTTATATATATATATATACACACACACAGTATATAACTATATTGTGTGTGATGTATACTTGTCTAGTATTCTATACTGTAGAGTCTTCTACAGGTTGTTTTCTTTTGAGAATCTCTTATCTTGGTATTTGTCAAGTTTTTTGTTTTAGGAGACAGATTGACAAATACTTAAAGAATTTTGCCAAGTTTTGCTCTACATAGTAAGATACCTGGCTGTTGGCCCCAAGATCCCGTGGTAACATGATAGCGCTTACATATGTTGTCTCCTTTAGTCCTCAGGACAGTCTTATGAGTAGATGTTGTAATTGTCTTCCTGGGATGAGTGATGGATCTGCAGTTTAGAAAAGTGCCCAAGGTCACAGAACTGGTAATGACATTCTGGCATCAGAATCCATGCTGTTTGCTATAGCACTCTACCACATGCCATAATTTTAGATGGTTTAGAAGATCTTATGGGGGAAGGGAAACTTTAAAAGGCCCTTGAAAGATGGGTAGAATTTAGAAGGGTAGAAATACATGCTGGTGGGGGCACAATGGAAGAATGTATTGCAATTTATCTCTGCAACTCTTCTAATGAGGTAGGAACTTCCTTATGATTTTTCGTTGTTGTTGTTATTCTCTGAAAATCTTTCTACCGCAGAAGCCAGCTCAACCTCCAGAAGATAGGAGGCACTCAGTCAATATTTTCCAGATGGATAAGACCAGTCTTAATTCGCAGAGAGTTTAGTGGGTATGAGCGAAGGTACTGGAGCCAGACAGCCTGGGTTCAAACCCCGACTCTACCCCTTCCTAGCTGTGCGTCTGTGGCAGCCTCCTACAGAGGCTCCTCCTCTATAAAGTAGGAATAACAGACCCCACCTAGAAAATGGATATGCGGAGTGAGTAATACATGGGAAGTGCCAAGAAGGCCGCTTAGCACCTAACATCTCCACAGGTGTGGCTGCTGTGGTGGAAGGTCATGATGATCCTGTACTTCCTCTCATGGTATAGTTTGAGAAGTGAGCTTTCCAACATATCTAACGTAAAGCTTGAGTGGGTACAAAGTGGGACCTCCCTAGAGATGACGAGGAACACCAGGAATGTGAGTTTAGAATTGTGGGTGCCTCTGTGCTTTCATTCACAGGCAGCAAGTTGCTCTCAGTAAGTGCTTTCCAGTCTTTCTGGAAAGTCTTCCCAAACTGTCAAGGTTTATAAAATCTTTCCATAAACTCTTTCTAGTCTTAAGTTGGGAGGTTTCCTGGAGAGGGACTTGAATGGATATTTGGAGGAGGTAGAAGTTCAGAGATCTGAAAAGAATTTGTATTATTATTGTCCATATTGTTTCTAAAACTGATCATTCAGTACTGAAGTTGTAGATTTTAGTTTTACATTGTCTTATAAAAATATGTGATAAATATTAAATACCATAGGGAAATTATTTTTTGAATTTTATGGAACATTAAAGTCTGACTTTGTAGTAATGTTTTAGCTTACTGTGTTCTGAGTCAGGTCTTGATTGTCAGTGACTGTTGAATAAGTTAGTGGTGATTATGACTAGAGGATCTTTGTGAATGTGAATTAGATTTATGTTTTGTCTTCTCAGATATTTTGTCTCCTTTATTTGGGACGCTTGTTTCTTCAGCTCAGGTGAGTATACCTTTAAGGTGTTTTTTCTTTGGGTGAAAGTAGACAAGTATTTAAACAACTCCATGAGAAAATATGAGAAGTGCATCTTGGGGGTCTCAGTCCCATGCAGAGACCGAGATGGCACATAGCTGGAAGCTAGCTCAAGTGCCACAGTCATGGGATCCATGGCCATCAACATAGGGAGAGCTTTTGACGGAGGTCCCACTGGCCAAGAAGTCACTTGGGACGTTCCAGCCTGAAAGACTAGAATAGGGCACTTCTTTTGGGGACACTGATTAATTCATGGGACAGAGTTAACTCTGGTGCATAGGGTGGTGAGGTGTGAGTAGTGAAGGCCAAGTCAAGTTAGAAAAATGTGAATTTTCATGTTCAATGGCTCCTTCCTGACTGAGCTGGTCCCTTTGTGTTGATAAATCATGTAATGCTCCAGACCCTCAGGTAAATGGTTGGAACAAATGGCTCTGTCCCTGAGGAAAGCCAGGCTTCTTTTATTTTTGCTTTGGCATTGAGAGTCCTGTTGTCCATTTGGAAGGTGGGGAGCATTTGCAAATGCCCTGTTAGCTCAGTTGAGTTACTGAGTTACCAATTACCCAGGTGTGGGGAGGAGCTGTATGGAAGAGACTAGTACAGAACTTGCATTTAAGATTTAATTGTTATAAGCCTAGTAAATGTCTGGTCCCATGTGGCTGTATACAAAGTTAGCTAATAAGTTAGCCTGAAAGGAAATGTTCATTTCTGAAAGTCCTAGGATCTTTGTCTGCAGTATCTGTCTTTTTATAATCACCTAGGGGAAAAGGGATAAATGTATAAGCCCCTTTATTTAAATTAATCTCAAGGCCATTAGACATAATGTAATAACACCCTGCGGACGAGTACAGATGCTGCCAAAGCATGCAGAGATAATTTCCCAACAACCTGTTAGCTCATGTACTTGGCTCTATTTAGGTTCTTTTAACCATGTATTTAAGATAAATTATAGATTTATTAGTATTGCAGCATAACCCTCCAGGTTTACAAATAATATATGTAGTGCATCATGATTTTAGAGTTTCCTTAAACGTAATAACTAAACAATTCTCCTTCTGAACTGTTTGGCAGAATTACCCATGGCTTACTTTTCTTTTCTCCCATCTAGTTTAACTACTGCTTTGACGTGGACTGGCTTGTAAAACAGTATCCACGAGAGTTCAGGTGAGTTCTGCAGGGTGACAGACAACACCATAAACTGTAAGAGGCTTTGACACCTAAGATTTGTATTTCTCAGGTAGAGCCACCGGTATCTTTTTGAATATTTCTTTTGAAACTATTGAAGTTATATAGATGTTAAGTTATATTGGGAAAAGACCATTCTTTGATCTATTTAATCCTACACATTCTTTTTACAGATTTTAGCATTTTCCTCTGTGCTCTTTCAGGAAGTAGGTAAGGACAGGCTTTAACTCAAATAACAGAACTTTATGTCCCGTCTTAATATGAAGGAAAAGACCATCTCCACATGCCTTCTAGATCTGTAAATGTGCCAACATGTGGCCAGCATGCTGTGCTTTCCTTAGCACATCAATGGTGTTCTGTCTTGAGGATCCCTTTGTGTTTCCGCGATTAGGAAAGGAGACTATACCTATCGCCTCCCCTTTTCTAGGCTCTGGAGGTAACGGATTTTTAGTTCTGTCTTCTGCCTGCACTTCATCAGATTCATGTTAGTCTATACAGACCTAATAGGGCATCACACAGTGAGGTACCACCCCTCCCTGTTTCTGACACATTTATGTGGCAGAATCCCATAATAGCAAGTAGGATGGAGGAAAACACACAAAAAATGATTGTCAGGGTCCTCGAAATTTTTGGTACATTTAGGGAATCAGATTGTGGAAATCTTTGACATTAACAATAGATAAAATGCTGTTAAAATTTTTCAAGGAGCTTTGGCGCTTGGGGATTTTTTTAACCTGTATCACCCAGAATTAGTTTTATCTCCATGTAAAAGAATACTCAAAATAAGAGTGGCTTAAATAAGACAGAAATGGTTTCCAGCCTGACAAGTTGAGATGGTAAACATTTATGGTCTGGATTGGGGGCACCAGGGTTCTCAGAGACTTATCTACCTACTCTTTCTGTTCTACCATCCTGGTGTGTGATTCAGTCTTCAGAGTCACCTCATGGTCCAGTATGGCAGCTAGAGCTCCAGCTTACTCATCTATTCCAGGTAGCAGGAAGGGGAAAGGAGGAGAAGGACAAAAAAGGTCCATATTTCAACTATGCCCATCTGAGCAGCCTTCCTGGAAGTCCCATACAGTACCTGCATCTATTTCGTTGAGCACAGGCTGAAATGTCTTTTAGCTTAGCACACCTTGTTCTGAATTAGCCTTTTGTTAGGGAAGGAGAAGAGAATGGCTGTCTGGAGGCAGTTTCTGCCTTGACTCCTGGCAGTAGTATCCTTGGGTATCATCACATTGGCATTTTCTGTTCTTCCTCCCTTTTCTTAAAGACCTTGAAATAATCACCCCATTAGAGTGTTGGCAAAGTGTAGACTGCCGTTCCTTTGTATCTGTTATGGGTTAAATTCTCTCCCCCCGCAAAAAAATCTGTTGGACTTCTAATCCCCAGTACCTCAGAATGTGATCTTATTTGGAGATAGAGCTTTTACAAAGGTGATCAAGATAAAATTAGGGCATGAAGATGGGTACTAATCCAGTATGACTGATCTCCTTATAAAAAGAGAAACCTGGGTGCAGAGACAGAGATAAGACCGTGTGAAGACACAGAACGCAATCTACAAGCCAAGCTCCCAGAAGCTAGGAGAGAAGCTTGGAACAGATGCACTTCACAGCCTCAGGAACCAATCCTGCCAACACCTTGATCTTGGACATCTGGCCTCCAGACCTGTGAGACAATATATTTCTGTTTTCTAAGCCACCCAGTTTGTGGCACTTTGTTATGGAGGCCCTGGCACACTAATACAGTGTCCATTGGATTCTCAGTAACTAAAGGGAAAAAGTGGCCTCCTCCTCCCTGCACACCCTTACTACCAAGTGCATCTTGGGAAGGCCATTAAGAGCCTTAGAAGGTTGAGGAGTGCCTTAAATGGCAAGTTTAAGTAATATCCAGAATTTCTATGTAGAAAATTCAGATCATAAGGATTTATACCTCATTATGCTGTTCTTCAGGTGCTGTTTTTTTGTAATAAGTCATAGAACCAGTATATTTGAAAGAATTAATGAGGACTTCAGTTTCTATCAGTCATGTTTAATCTTTTTTTTTAAAGATGACTTGATCTAACGTTTTTTTGTTTCTAGGTGATAGATGCATGAGTGTTTCTTACATTATTCTCTATACTGTTTTTCTTACCTAAACAGATAATTTCTAAAAAATCACAAGTGCATGTTTTATAGTTTACCTGTCATGTAAGCATAAAGCTGTTGGATATGAAGTAATGAGTTATTAGCAGTAGAATTACATTTTCTATGATGTTGCTCTCTAGTTGATTGTTTTTCCTTTGTGTATGGTGGAGAATCATTCTGCAGTGTGACTGATAAATCTGGAAGTGGCTCAGTTGTTTATCTTGCGTGATTGGTTAGATCCAATTTTTGTTGTGTTGGGAGAGCTTATAGAAATATATTTATTTCTAAGTGTTATCTTGCTTTGAATTAATCAGAAAGATCAAGAATCTCTGAAAAGGCCGGGCGCGGTGGCTCAAGCCTGTAATCCCAGCACTTTGGGAGGCCTAGGCAGGTGGATCACGAGGTCAAGAGATCGAGACTGTCCTGGTCAACATGGTGAAACCCCGTCTCTACTAAAAATACAAAAAATCAGCTGGTCATGGTGGCGCATGCCTGTAATCCCAGCTACTCGGGAGGCTGAGGCAGGAGAATTGCCTGAACCCAGGAGGCAAAGGTTGCAGTGAGCCGAGATCGCGCCATTGCACTCCAGCCTGGGTAATGAGCGAAACTCCGTCTCAAAAAAAAAAAAAGAATCTCTGAAAAGCCTTCGAATGTATTCTTGAAAAGTGTTTTTATATTTTGAATTCAAAAATACAGCATTTTTCCGCATAGCTTGGGCTCTGTTTCACTGAAATCTAACCACCCATTAGTGTGGCTGTGTCATGCAGTAGGCCTGGGCCTGGGCCTGGGCCTGTCCACTATTGTATCTGGGTCGAGCTCAAACATAGCACACAGGAGGAGTTTGGCTAATATAGACATGGTGTGAAATGAATCCACTGTGTGGTCCAAAAGGAGGAAAAAAAGCATTGTACTATATAACAATAATTATCTTTAATTTATTTGGACTTAAGTATTTTAACGCAGAGCTACTTATGTGCCCTTTTGGGCCAAAGAAGATAATTATTCAAGGACTTTGTTGAATACAGTCCTTGAATTCCCTCTGTGTTACAGCAGAACTGCAGAATCAGGCCACATAGCCCCATTATAAAGGTATCTGGTAAATGAACATAAGCTGATCACTGCTCTGTGTTGGCCCCGACTTCACTTACTGCAAATGCCAGAAACAAATGTCGAGTGATAAAGAAGCTAGCATTCCTTAATGAGGCCAGAGTCCAGCTTCATGAACGATGTATTTTATTTTATTTATTTATTTTTGAGACAGTCTTACTCTGATACCCAGGCTGGAGTGGAGAGGTACAATCTCGGCTCACTGCAAACTTCGCCTCCCGGATTCAAGCAATTCTCCTGCCTTAGCTCCGGAGTAGCTGGGATTAAGGCGCGCACAATCATGCCCAGCTAATTTTTGTATTTTTAGTAGAGGTGGAGTTTTACCATGTTGGCCAGGCTAGTCTCGAACTCCTGACCTCAAGTAATCTGCCTGCATCAGTGTCCCAAAGTGCTGAGATTACAGGTGTGAGCCACTGTGCCCAGCCTTGAATGATGTATTTTAAATACTTCTGCTCTCTTTTCAGGAAGAAGCCAATCCTGCTTGTGCATGGTGATAAGCGAGAGGCTAAGGCTCACCTGCACGCCGAGGCCAAGCCTTACGAGAACATCTCTCTCTGCCAGGTAAGCCACTTACTGCCATTGGAGAGCATGTATAGTCTGAGAATTAGAAGGAAACATAGACATTTAGATCACCCTTCCACCTAGTACAGAAGTGCTCTCTCCAGCATCAGTCATCAACAGATACTTGTCTAACCTAAGCTTAAACACTTCCTGAGATAGAACATCCCATTGGTAGTACTCCTTATGCTTGGAAAGGTTTTTCTTTTTGTGAGACTGAAGTCTTCCTAATTTTGACTCATTGGGTCTTAATTTTCCCCTTCTGGAGCCACACAAAATAAGTAAAGTCTTTCATCTTACAAATGTCAGTGATTCATATATCTAAAGTGATCTGCCCTGTCTCACTTAGTTTTCTCTCTCAAACATTCTCTCTCTTTGGTTGTATTCAATGTAGTATGGATTCCGAGTCTCCACAACCTGCCGCAGTGCTCCCCTGGTTGCATGTAGCTTGTCAATATTCCTGTTGAAACCTGGGTTTCAATTGAACAAATCCTCTGGATGCAGTTCAGTGGCTGTTGGTTTCTTTTTGTCAGTATCCTGTGCATGCAGCATAAAACTTGTAGTTTTTCATGACACCTTATGTAACTTACATTAGCTGCCATTGACACTTCGTTGGTAGCCCTTCAACCGTAGTTTTTTTTTTTCACATCAGTTGCATCTAAGCTCTAAACAGGAGAGACTCATAGATTAAAAAAACTGTTAGGAAACTATGTGAGTCGTATGCTGCGTATGATCTAAGTCCAGTGTGGAGACATTAAGTGGTCTCATAACAGGCATATTCACTTGGTTTGCTAGGACCAAAGCAAAGCAGAAAAGAAAGCTGTATTACTTTGTTCTTGTGCTGCTATGAAGAAATACCTGAGACTGGGTAATTTATAAAAAGGAGGGATTTAATTGGCTCATGGTTCTGCAGTCTATACATGAAGCATGGCTGAGGAGGCCTCAGGAAACTTTCAGTCATGGCAGAAGATAAAGAGGAAGCAGGCACGTCTTACTTGGCTGGAGCAAGAGGGCAGAGAGAAAGGGGAGGAGCTACACACTTGTATTAAACAACCAGATCTCATGAGAACTCACTATCACAAGAACAGCAAGGGAGAAGTCCACCCCATGATCCAATCACCTTCTACCAGGCCTCTCCTCCAACATTGGGGATTATAATTCAAGATGAGATTTGGGTGGGGAAACAGACCCAAACCATACCAAAAGCCAAAAAACAGTTACTGCCTGGTTTCTTTATATATTCCCATAATTTTGTCCTAATACTTTGCAGCCAGCATACAACATGGCCGGTGACTTTCATTAGGACCCATTTCTTTAGACTCATCATCCAAAAGGATCTTCTATTACATGTGGCATTTTGAGCAAGAAACCTGCAAAGTAGAAAGGAAAACAAGGAATACAGAAGAATTTCTCACATTTATGATAACTACTTCCTGTAGAAATGGTAGTTAGGAAGTAGCTGGTGTCATAGTCACCTTTTCCTATTTCGTTTAGCTATATTATCAGTCCATTCATGAGAAAACATGGAAGATGCTTTTTTATAGCCCTTTTCTTTCCTTATTGTTAGCTTAGTAAAATTGGCAAAAGATTTCTGCTGTTATAGTACAGAGGCAAGAGTGAATTACATGCTTTCTGGATTTTTTTTTTTTTTTTTTCATTTTCCTTCTAGTGTCTTTTTTCCCCATCCACAAAGATTTAAGAATTCCAACTCATATGGTATCACTCTTTTTCCAACTGTATATGATATCTTTGTATTTTTTTAAGACAGTATAAGAGCCCAGGCTTGTTAATTTTAAACATATCTCACAACATTTTCCTTACGGTGTAACCTACTTCACTTTATAGAGTTGTCATTTTAAAAATACCTTCTATCCAACATAGGTTCACCTCATCATGCCCATAGATGTGCCTTCGCTTCAGTGGTTGCCAAAATTCCATTGTTTTGCTTCTGTTTCCAGCAACGTAAGAGGTTAGATTGCAGTAGGATGTCTCCTATCAAACCTTATGGTGGGCAGAAAGTAAAGTGACACAGAAATCCTGAAAACCAGTGACTAAATGAATGGAAATAGAAAGTATTTTTCAAATATTATTTACCTGTTCTGAAAGGTTTAGGAGAGAGGTTCCTGTGCTTGATAGCGTGCTCCAGGCTGGCCACCAGAGGGCATAGTGAGCTGCATCTTCCAAACCGCTTGGAAAGAACTGTTTAGAAGTTCCCAACTCTAGGCTGAGGTGTAGGATTGTGTCCCTCTCCTGACCTCTTGAAACACCTTTTTACCTTGTCTGTAATATAAATTCTTCTTTCTAGCAGCATGGGTCATTTAAACTGAGACACATTAGTCAGAGAATCAGTGGCTGCTGACACTGTCCCATTTTGCAAACATGGGACCTAAGGGCAGACTTTGAGACCTTGTGGTGGTCAGAGTCACATTGCTGGGGCTCAGTCCCAGCTCTATGTGTGTGTATTAGTCTGCTTGGATGCTGTAATAAAATTACCTGGGTGACTTTTCTTGGACTTGGGTGGCCGAAATAACAACTTATATCTCAGTTCTGGAACCTGGGAATCCAAGATCAAGGTGCCAGTCAATTCAGTTCCAGGTGAGGGCTCTCTTGCCAGCTTGTAGATGGCCACCTTCTCACGGTGTCCTCATGAGGGAGAGGGAGGAAGGCAGACACACAGGCTGTCTCTTTTATAAGGACACCAACCAGTCCTGTTTTATCAGGATCCTACCCTTATGACCTCATTTAACCTTAATTACCTCCATGAAGTCCCTCTCTCAAATTGTCACGTCGGAAGTTGGGGATTCAACATATGAATTTGATGGGGGGAACACAAGTGTTTATTACACTTCTTCTGGGCTTGTCACTGGCTTGTCACCTAATTTCTTCATCTTTGAAATTGATTGCTAATGCTGTTCATTCTAGAGTTTGCTAAAAGATTTGATACACTAGCCCAAAAACAGCACCCAGTAAACATCTGTTGAAGCTATTATCCTTGTTTTTTGTGCTTAGACTTGCCCAGAAGCATGTAACTTGCAGCAAGCTAAACAAAAGCCAGGTCTCTTGTTCTTTCTCAGCTAAATATCAATTTATAGAGTGGCAGTCCTCCTCATTTTGTAATTTTGAAGACATGAAATAGAGTTCCTTGTACTTTCTTCTGGGGCCAGAGGGCACAGATGCATGCTGGTCTGTGGGTATCTCCACTCCAGACAGGGAGTGTGTTGTAACTCACCTGTGTATTCCAGTGGCCCATTGCTGCCCCCAGCAAAGTTTCACCCATGTCATGTGATGCGGGGGTGGGGTAGGTAGTGGGGAGAGGTTGCAGTAGTGATTGCCACAATTGTAGAATGCTTACTGCATGCAGCTCCCCGTTCCTCAGCATTTTGCATATGTGATCTCATTTCTAACAACTCTGGATCTCATAACGGTACCGTTTAAAAAAGGAGAAAACTGAGGCTTAGAGATAGGCGTATTTCCCAGAGTCGTACAAAGTTGTGAAGGCAGGATTTGAGCCCATGTACTGCATTCCTAAGTGCAAAACTTTTCCGGTTATTTAAACTCTTTCATAACCTGCATCTTGTGACATATTCTACTTAACCAAGGTCTGGCAGTAGTGGGTGTTAGATAAAATGTTTTCTATATACATCCCCTCCATTTCATGTGTTTTTATTTTCAGCACTTGCTGTGCTTTCAATATAAGGACATTTCTGTTTTAATTTAACATCCCAAGTCTTTATGTTGCCACCACTTTCAGTGTTTCTTTCAAATATGCTCTGCAAACTGTGTACTATTAATTTATATGTAAGCCAAATATCTAAAACTGTGCATAGTCTTATTTGTTTTACTAGTTTTTTGACAACTAAAGAAATTAGGCTTCTCACTCCTAATTACTGTAATTAAAAATATAGTGTATATTGAATCATTCTAGATAACAAAATTTATGATTTTTCTTTAATATGCATCTCCAGATGCTATTATAAAAGCTGTCTTGTTATTCAAGGGCTTGTCCAGTAGAGGTCAGTAAAAATAGTTGGTTTTTTTCTTTTAAGTTGGCCTGATTGCTTTCTAATGTAATTTCCAGTAGATATGGATATTAGTGGTTTTTTAATAAACAACTTCTTTTTCATCCTAGGCAAAGTTGGATATTGCATTTGGAACACACCACACGTAAGCGATTTTTATGAAATGGGGGAATCCCTCAAGCATTGTCATTTGTCCGTTACACTGTTATTCGTAGAAGAGACTGAGCCTGGGGGAGCTATTCTTTTATTTAATGCTCTTATAAAAATTATTTGGTCCTTCCTTTTAATTTTATAGATCAGGAAACTAAGGCCCAGATTAAGGTGTGCGGTTTTTCTTTGGGCCAGTAACAGAGACAGAAACAGAACCTATATATTCTAACTTTAGTGTGTGTGTTTTTTTTTTAATATATTATTTTTTAAGATATGGTCTCACTCTGTTGCCCAGACTAGAGTGCAGTGGCATAATCACACCTCACTGCAGCCTCCAACTCCCAGGCTTGAGCAATCCTCCCACCTCAGCCTCCCAAGTAGCTAGGTCTGTAGGCGTACACCACCATGCTCAGCTAATTTTTTTGTAGACACAAGGGTCTCACTTTGTGACTCAGGCTGGTGTCGAACTCCTGGGCTCAAACAGACCCCCTGTCTTATACTCTCAAAGTGCTGGGATTACAGGCGTGAGCCCCTGTGCTGGCCTTCACTTTAGCTTTTAATTTGTTCTTGTTTGCTCATAGCTAAAATTTACCTTATTATTTCCTTTAGTCCATCCACCACCGCCCCTGCCACCTCACCCCTACACACATACTTTGTAGGTTAGACTCAACAGAGCTCTTTTTTTTTTTTTTTTTTTTGAGACAGTCTCGCTCTGTTGCCCAGGCTGGAGTGCAGTGGCACAATCTCAGCTCACTCCAACCTCCACCTTCTGGGTTCAAGTGATTCTCCTGCCTCAGCCTCCCCAGTAGCTAGGATTACAGGCCCCTGCAACCACACCCAGCTAATTTCTGTATTTTTATTAGAGACAGGGTTTCACCATGTTGGCCAGGCTGGTCTCAAACTCCTGACCTCAAGTGATCCACCCACCTCAGCCTCCCAAAGTAGTGGGATTACAGATGTAAGCCACTATGCCTGGCCAAGAGCTCTTAATTCAGAGTTTAAAATACCTAGGAGGCTGGTCACAGTGGTTTCATGCCTGTAATCCCAGTACTTTGGAAGTCCAAGGTAGGTAGATTATTTGAGGTCAGGAGTTCGAGGCGTGCACCACTGCATCTGGCTAATTTTTGTATTTTTAGTAGAGATGGGGTTTCGCCATGTTGGCCAGGCTGGTCTTGAACTCCTGACCTTGTGATCCACCCAGTTCAGCCTGCCAAAGTGCTGGGATTTCAGGCGTGAGCCACTGATCCCAGCCTATTTTTAAAATGTTTTAAGAATTGAATACCTATTATGTTCTTGACAGAGTTCAAGAGAATATAGAGTGTTTATTCTTACAACTTTTTCTTTGGTGAGAGAAGCAAGACAAAAGTGAATTAGAAAAGGAGAAACACCTTCCAGATCATGGTGATGGAGTGTAAGCTGCCTTCCCCACCTGGCAGGGTAGAGCTAGAAACAGTGAATGGGGCAATCTTTGAGACTGCATACACTTTGGCACATAAGTCGTTAGGTACAGTAGCCCTGCTCCTTCCAGTTTTGGTTGGATGCCATGCAATCCTGTGGTGTGTCTCACAGTGTTTTAGAATGGTAAAGCTCTTTGGTTTCCTCCAGAGCTGGGAGCAGGGTTAATTCTTACGGCTCCAAGAATTGCTAGAGGGGAAAGAGAAAAACCAAAGCAGCTGAATGTCAAATATCCAGATCCAGGTGGTAACCGATGGCAAACCACAGGATGGGCAAGGTGTACCTCTTTCCACGGCCCCCACCCTGTATCATTTAGTCTTCTTTCCCACCAATGCCATGTCTTCTCCCACCTCTCCTACTCCTACGCTAGTAGCATGAAGGATTCACTGTTGCTGCGACCAGCCCTTGGAAGCCATGTGTGGTGAAAGGAGTGCTCTGGCACCTGGCACATGTGATCCCAACATGCTCTTCCACTTTGTGACCTTGTATAATACCTGTTAACTGTCCAGCCACAGATTCCACATCTGTAGAATGAGAATAAACCCTCCTCTGGATTGCTGTGAAGACTTAGTGTGGTAACATATGACAGCTTCTAGGAGGGTACCTGGCAGAGAGGTGCTTGGCATATGTTAGTTCTCTTCCCGCTTTGCAGGAATAGCTGTGCATTTGAGTTGTGTCCCTTTTGCTGCCCCACAGCTTAGCACACAATATGGCAGGTCAGCATTCTTCAAGGGAGATCTCATTCCTTGCCCTTTTCTATCCATTTTTAACTCTGACCTTATTAACACTACCATTTCGTCTACGAAAAGATGAATATGGCTACTGTCAAGTTCATAATTCTTATTTGGTGAGATTCATTGACATTAGTGTGTGATTTGCCTGATAATCGATGTCTTGACTAATGGAAATATTTGTAAACCTTCTATCATGAATCCATAACTGACTTAATTACAATCAGCTGCTGATTTGGCAACTGTGTATGTAAATTTGCCCAGATTTCAGGGAGCACATTTCACAAATGGAAAGAAGATGGCTCAGCAGCTGTCATTTCTCCAGCTTTGCATTAATTTACTGTTTGCCAGCTTGGGTTAATTTCTCGTTTTGGCAAGAGCTGAATATCTCATTCTCTTTTCTGTCCTTGCATCCTTTTTCTTATCTTTTTATACTGATTTCATTCCTGCCTAGATAGTATTCATGTTGTTTATTTGGAGAGAGCCAGTGGTTCATTTTTTTTCCCCATGTGTAAATTGAGTTTCATCAGTAAGTGTTAAGTAGCACTCTGTCCTCGATGGAAATGATAAAATAAGTCAAGACAGAGTTACAGCCTTGAGAAGTGACACTTCAGTTGGAGGGAGAACTTAACATTTCTGAAATATTGAAACAAATACTATTGAAAACAACAGGGAGATAAAAATCATCCATTATTAGATTAGAAAATAAACCTATGTACTGAAGGAGTAATAGGAATGTACAGGTGAGAGTGTTTCACATTTAATAAAATGTATTTATTTATTTGTATTTTTTCAAGACAGTGTTTCACTCTGTTGCCCAGGCTGGAGTACAGTGGCACAGTCTCAGCTCACTGCAACCTCTGCCTCCCGGGTTCAAGTGATTCACCTGCCTGAGACTCCTGAGTAGCTGCAATTACAGGTGTCCACCACCACACCCAGCTTATTTTTGCATTTTTAGTAGAGACAGGGCTTGACCATGTTGGCTAGGCTGGTCTCAAACTCATAACCTCAGATGATCTGCCAGCCTCAGCCTTCCAAGGTGCTGAGATTACAGGCATGAGCCATTGTACCCGGCAGCAAAATGTATTTTTGCATATCATTCACAACAGTCCTGAGGTGGGATAGATCCTTAGAGATATAAGTGGAAAACTGAGGCTCAGGGACATTGAATGGCTTACGTAGGGTCAAAGGGCTTCTAAATGACAGTTTGGAGCTTAGGTCTTCAGACTTCAGATGGAAAGCTCTTATCTATATCCTAGCCCCTCTCTCTCACTGGAGTTAAAATAAGAGAAATGTGTTTGGCTAGAGGTCTGGGGCAGCCACATGAGAAAAGAATGGACCCAGTTAGGTCTCATTTGGGTTAATGAAGAATAGGCAAGACTTACCTCAAGCCAAGACACACACTGGTGACAAGTGTGGAATCTATGGATACAAAAAACCACTCTAATGGTAATGAAGCATCTTTCAAACTTTTTAAAATTTCAACTCATAATAAATACATTTTATATTTCAGTGTATTGTACACTGATATACCCATGTGCCAGAAGAAAATTTCATGAACCAGTAATTAAAAATATATAGTATCTCAACTTATTCTGTTTTAGTTGTTTAAAAAATACTAGCCATGATGCAACAAGAGGTTGTTGACCATACTTTGCATCTCAGACAAGAAGGTTCCCATGGTCCCTAGAAGTAACAGGTGATGCTGAATAGATAATAAGGGGCCAGGCTGGAGGGATGTGAAGTGCCAGGACTGGCCAGGTAGACAGAATAGGGTAAAAGTTCATTTACCGCATTTACCAAATACTCAACATTTTTGAAAGATTTTCAGCCTATCACTTAGGCAGACTTTCATCATGGTAATGCATAGAAGGGAAGATTATAAATGTTTAAAGTTTGGGTAATATGAGAGTTTTTAAAAATTCCTTTAGCTATTTGTTACATTTGCATTGGAAAGGTATTACATATTTTGAAAGTATTGTTAATGATTTTTGATCCTTTGCTGTTTTTAAAGGAAAATGATGCTGCTGCTTTATGAAGAAGGTCTCCGGGTTGTCATACACACCTCCAACCTGATCCACGCTGACTGGCATCAGAAAACTCAAGGGTTCGTAGGGGCCTGCTCGCTTCCTGGCAGTGTGTGTGCTGAGAAAGGTCAAAAGCCAGAACATTCACTTTGTTCTTTTTTCTATTTTTTTTTTAAGTTGTAAAAATGACACACATGGCCTAGAAAAGAGTTGTATGCAGAAAAACTTACAGTATACTTTTCCTGCCTGCCCAATTCTACCTTCTTGGGGTAACTAGTGTTAGCAGGAGAATAATCATCCATGGCTACCTCTATTATGCTTGTGAACATACATTACTATTTACATGTAGTAATCTCTTCCTAGTTTTTAGAGAAATGGCATCATATACACACTCTAGCTAAGTAGAAGGAACAGCACGTGCAGAGGATCTGGTTCAGAGAAGGAGTTACAGAATGAAAGATCTGAACCCATCGATTTCCCAGTAGTATTTACCACATAGCTTTTGTGGTTTCTCCTTACTGGTGTACCCACCTGTATTTTTGCTTGCCACTTCCCAAACAGGAATCAAAGGAAAAGTTGGGGTGGGGCCTGGTCATGTTAATAGTGTGCTAAATATTTCCTCACTCCCCCCAGTCAGTGTATTTTCTTTGAAACAAATTTAATCTGGTATCTTTTTAGAGCCTTTAGTGTGTTAACATTGTGAATCTCCAAGAGAAGAATTGAATATGAAAGTGTTTCTGAACTTTTTAAACTACTAACCCTCTGTACTTGGTGCAAGTTTTCATCCCCTTTTAAAAGGGATTTTTAGGGATTTGCTCAAATCAAGTTCAGCTATTGTTCCTGATTATGACTAACTTTAATTTTTCATTTAAGCCATTTTGCACATCTCTCTCTGTTCTAGAGAAGAGCTGGTCAACAAACAGCCTTCCGTGTTGGGAGAAACTCGGATGTTTGTCTAGCACCATTTCTGGGTTCACATATTCTCTGTCGTCTTCCTCTGCCTCACCCTGCCCCATATTGCCTCACTTGGTCTAAAACTCCTAATTTGGAGTATATTACTTCCGACTAAGCTCTGCTGAGCCCAAGTTACATCTTTTTTTTTTTTTTTTTTTCTGGACTCGCTCTGTTACCCAGGTTAGATTGCTGTGATGTGATCCACCTCCCAGGCTCAAGTGATCCTCCCACCTCAGCCTCTGGGTAACTGAGACTGAAGGCACGCACCACTACACCTGACTAACCTTCTGTATTTTTTGTAGAGACAGGGTTTTGTTTAGTTACCCAGGCTGGTCTCAAACTTCTGGGCTCAAGCGATTCGCCTGCCTCAACCTCCCAAAGTGCTTAGATTACAGGCGTGAACCACCACGCCTGGCCCCAAGTTACATCTTAGTTTGAGCTGAAATAGCTTTCCAGCTTCCTTCAGCAGGTCTTGCTTCAACCTGCGTATGCTGTGCAGGGCAAGTGTAACCTCTCTTCCTTAAGGCAGTCCTTCAGGGTTTGAAAGGGAGTCTTGTCTCTGAGCCTCACATCTCTTGTTCCCCCCTCACTCCCCTACCCCACCATAGCATGTGGCTTTGAACCCCCATCACCAATTCCTTGTAGTTTTTATAAACACAAAAATATTTTTTACGTTTATTTTTATAACATAACATTTTTTATAACATAAAAATGTTCTAATTTTTCAGTATCCCACTTAAAATATGCTTTTCAAAATTAAATGTGGCTCTGACTGGTCCAGGGTTGAGGAGATAGCTACTCTATCTTTAAGTCTTAGGTGTGGCACTTTCTTGATCTACTGAATTTGTGGCCAGCTGTGCCTTTGGTACCCCAAGAGCCTCTAAGCCAGCTCTCCTGAGCTCCCTGATTTAGTTTGGGAACTCAGGTAACCCTATCAAAAGGAAATGAGATTAATGTAGCTTTTTCTTAGTGAAGCAATAATTAATGTTACTAAAGGGATTTCTCAAGTTGGCCCTCAGTCTCCCGTGGCTCCAAAAATCCCACCCTGGGCTTCCTGTTTGTTGGAAGCTTAGCTTACAGGCAGTAGTACCTTCTCAGGCATCTCTGGGGTGCTTGCTAGGAGGGAAAAGGTAGGAGTAAAGGCTTGCGTGTTTCTTTTATTTAAAAATAATTTTTTAATTTAAAAATTTTAAAAACTTGCTGACTAGGTAGGAACTTCATATGGTTCAAATGACTCAGAAAGTACCAAGGCTGTGAAATCTTCCTCTGGCAGCCATCCTGGTATAGGATCCTATTATTTCATGCTTGGTCTATATTCTACTCTCTAATACTTTGCATTTCATGTTGTTTGTGGTAACTTTAAAACTTTCGAAAGCAGTTTTTGTGTGTAATCTCACTTCTTAATTGGTCTACGGTGGTTCTGCTAATCCCGTTCAGCTGTCTCATGGTCCACCTGTTGATTTCTCACTTTTAAAATTAGAACAAGAGTTGCATCCAAAGCTCACAGTTCAAAAATAAATAAATAAAATTATTTGGCTCATTATATTAATTTTCTCATCTTATTTTGTGACATGTTAAAAATGCCTCGTATCTCAACATCCTAGTTTAGGAAGTCATCTATCTTATTCCTCATCCAGAACACACCTCTGAGTGAATATCTGCTCCAGGTGGAGCCTTACTCAGCCTGGGAACTCTGCGTTGCTATTGCAAGGAGAGGTCCTACACGTTTATCCAGCCCAACCTGGTCATTTTACACACAGAGGCAAAGGCCTACAGAGGTCACAGGGCTTACCCAAAATGGCATAGTCAGCTAGAAGCAAATCTGGGTCCAGAACCTGGGCTCCGGCCCTTGTCACACCATGCTGACTCCTGTGCTAAGGGTCTCCCCAGGGTGGGAATTAGGGGTATGAAATGCCACTTGCTAGAAACTTGCAGAGTTTAGAAGATGCACTGCCAAGAGTCCTTGCAATTTTGGATGCCTTCTGCCCTGGTGACCTGCATCTTACCAGTCTCCTTGAGGGGCTGCCAGGTGAATGAGGAATTGGGCAGTTTTTCTTTCGGCTTAATAGGCTGGGGAGAGGGGAGTAGCCACAGAAGGGGAAAAAGTAGCACCCAATATTTTCACTGCTCCTGTAAGTCATTGCTTTGCAACAGTCTGGTGAGGCAGCCCTTAACCTCACTTTTGCATTTGAAGAAACTGAAACATGAGAGGTTTGAAGCAATTTTTGCAATCTGCTGTGGAGCAGTTTATAGAAGTATTGGAATTAGATATGGTTGTTTTCTATTTATGGATATAATGTAGAAGTTTTGGCAAAGAGCATTGTTTTCCTCTGGGGAAAAAGAATGAATGAAATGAAAGATGTCTGTAATGTTTCTTCACTGAATTGTTTGAAAGTTTGAGGTGGTTGTGACATCATTGAATGTGATATATAATTACTCCAGGCACCAGAAAACATAAGACAGAAAAATACACTGCTATAGCACCTACATTATGAAAATGGGTTTATTGAAAATAGATTTTTCACATACACTTTTACTATAGATAACACAATTCTTATTTCACATTTGGCTAACGAGCTGCATTGATGCAGACAAGGGCAAATTCTTGCTGGGATTACCACTGGTAGCATGGATTTGCTCTACCCGTTAGGAGTAGAATTCTTAACTCTTGTCATCAAGTCTTCGAAAACAGTATATAGGTGCAGAGGTAGGCAGAATAAGGAAGGTGTGGCAAGTGAGAGGGAGCATGGAGGGATGTGGGTTGCAGAGCCCAGGTCATACTGAATCTTATTCATGACAAGGTATTCCGAAGTAATTCAGAATGTGTTAGGAAACCATTGGAGTGGTTCTCATCAAACATCAGATTTATATTTCATGTTTCCTAAGATTACTTACCATGTGGAGATACTGAGAATTCACCTCTTTCTTAGGATGAAGGCATAATCAGTACAGAGGTCATCGTGATCAATTGTGTGCCTGACTGTTAAATTTTTTTTTTTAATTCCAGAGTATGGTTGAGCCCCTTATACCCACGAATTGTTGATGGAACCCACAAATCTGGAGAATCGACAACACATTTTAAAGCTGACCTCATCAGTTACTTGATGGCTTATAATGCCCCTTCTCTCAAGGAGTGGATAGATGTCATCCATGAGCACGATCTCTCTGAAACGAAGTATGTGCCAACTTATCACTTTGGGGTGTTTATAACAGGCTCATACCACAAGAACCTCATGAGGTCTGGAATACAGGGGCTTGGAAAGAGGTGGGGTGAAATCTAGCCAAGCTTCAGGACGTGATGAGGGGATGAGCAGATTCTGTCATATCTATATCTCATGATTCTCAGGCATTAAGGTGGCAACCAGTGAATCTTCATGTTTACCTTAAACCTCCCACTGGGGTACTCTTAAAATTAATGAGTTCTTTGCCTGGTACTTTACATCTTGTAGATGTTCCATCATTAGCTGGTTTGCTTGAAAATGAGTTTGAGAATCATTCAAGAAAATGGATTGGCTCTCAGATCATTTCTTCATTATATCAGTTACCATGTGTATTTTGTGATTTTCCTTTTTAGATGCCCAAAGCACATAACTGTATTTTACAACTTGTGTTTTTATATCTTTATAGTGTTTATCTTATTGGTTCAACCCCCGGACGCTTTCAAGGAAGTCAGAAAGATAATTGGGGACATTTTAGACTTAGGAAGGTAACTGAACTCTTACTGTTTTAACATTTTTAAAAAATTTAATGTATATTCTCTATTTTAAAATAATTTTATATTTTGATGCAGCTTCACAATATTTCTGCACAATTCTGGGCAAATAGGTACTTGACAAATTGGTAATTATAGTTCTTAGTAATTACTGCTCTTTAATGTGTTTTCTGTCTTTTCTAGCTGTAGGCTTTTCTAAATGGCATAAATATATAAACCCTTTCTAGTTTTTATATTGCAATAAAGATAGAGGCTTCCTATTTATACACATATTGTAGTTTTGATTATAGCTTTTGATTATTTAGCATATCAAGTTTTAAGATATAAATTCAACAAACAAAATGTTTTCGAATAAAGACTATAATTGAGCTACAATATATTTTGATTATTAAACCAGTGCCCTTAAGAAAACTAATTACAAAAATGATACTTGCTGCTGATATGAAAATGAACAAAGAAAAGAAAGGTCATAAAATAAAACAAATTGAAGATTAAAGTTTTTTTCATCTCTTTTTAGGTGATTTCCTGACCTTAATAAATTCCCTAAAGTGGCTTTCTTAAAAATCTTAACCTCTTGCTTCGTAAACTATGTATGTAAGAATTTTCCCTTAGTTAATGAAACTTTTTATTTAAATTTCCTTTTATGAAATGAACCACAGCTTAAAGCAGGTAAGATCTTGAAGACATCTTAGGTCTTGGCCTAGAGAGAAAGTTGAGCACATTGGCCTGTGCCCAGCCTTGGAGGCAGATACCCATAGCTAGGTTCAAATCCTGCTCTGTTATCTACAAGCCATGTGACCTCGACTTGTTCCTTAACTTACATTGCTTGTTGTCTATAAAGTGGACATAATAATACTATTTTCCTCCCATGATTTTGAGGATTAAGTGAAATGATGAATGTAAAACAGTACAAGACACATGGTAATAAGACTTTAGTACGTATACACAGTTTGTGGACTAATGTCTAATGGTTTCGATCAGCTAGGTAATAGCACGTATTGTGTGTGATCACCATCTGATACCGAAACTTCAACTATAAGAAGTTTTCAAACCACTTTTTACACACAGTTTCTCATGCTGTACCACAGCTTTCTTCCAAGAAGGCAGGCTGGTGATTAGATGCCTGTTTCCACCAAAGTGTAAGTCTAAGCTGGAGACTTGTCCAGGATAGGGCAGCCCTTTGGGGCTGAGACCTATAATAGAAACTGCGTATTGTAAGTTTTCGGTTCAGCTCTGTTTCCTATACTATACTGCACCCAAGATGGAAATGGAAACTTTGGGATTTTGGGGAAGTGTATGTGTTGATATTAGCGCCTAAGCTGTGTTAAGGAAAATAATACATATTTAATTATACAAAATGTCAGTCAGAATATGAGCTCCACTGGGGCAGGAACTACAGTTTATTTTTCTGCTCTCTCCAACCCTCTAGGTAGGTATCCAGTACATATTTAAGTGGATATAGTTTTGAAATATTTTCTGAATTGTTTCTGCAGCTTTGCATAATTGTCAAAGCAGGAAATGCAGATTGGTCTTCTCCAGTGCTTTAGCTTGTATGTGTATGTAAATATATTTTCTTTTATGTTTAGACCATCACAGCTGCCTGGAGCTCAAGTGTTAAACTGTGAATTATGAATGTTAAGCCTCTTTCACATGATAGGAGTCAAAATATGTAATAGTTTCACCTTCTAGGTATTGTTTAAGTGTTCTTAGCCAAAAACTCACTTTGTTTCCCCTGCTCTGACACCACAACAGTCAACACAGAAAACTTCTGTGACCAAATATGTATGTGACTTTCCTCATAGACTAAGCAGGGGACACCAACTGGGTGTCCTCTAATTCACTTCAATTCTTATGCTGCCTTCCTGGAGATGTAGCTGAAACGCAGTTCAGTTTGGTCACGGCTGGTAGAGTCAAATTAGCAAGTGCAAGGTCTGGTATAAAGAAAGTGACTTTTTATTCCAAAGCTAGCTTGGAGGAATAAGCACAGGCTTCTTGTCTAAAGGGGTATGGCTTTGCTCTTGGAGCAGAAAGTGGGCACTTTTAAAGCGGAGCACTGGCATGAGTGGCACACAGGGGAGGAAACAAGCAGGTGGTTACTTTCTTACTTTCTGCCTTCTTTACCAGGCAGTCCATTTGATTTCTTCTGGGCAGAACTAGGTTGTAAAGCTGGTGGAAATTCTCCAGGTGGGAGAGTTTCGTAGTGGGCATACTTTGGGTTGTAAATTGACTGCTGTCCCCCGAGACAGTACCCTGGTGGGGGAAAGTTCTGCTCTAGAGCTTCTAAGCACATAGTTAGATGAACTTGCCCTATAGGGAGTGTCTGGTGAAGGAAGAATAAAAGGTTATAATTGCATTTCTAAATAGCTAACTAGAAAGTGGGGAAGGAGTGGCGGGGAACGGAGGAAAGAGAAAAGTAAGAAAAAAATAATTGAAAAAATACTTTTTTAAAAGAAATACAGGGGTACTCAGTTGCAGAGATAGCCTCAGATCCCACAGATTGAGGACTCCGTCCCACAAGACTGCCCCTCTCCCTCAGACACCAGTTGCAAGTCTGGGCCTCTGGAACTTCTGACTGACCAGCTTCAAGTTGAGGTTCCTATGACCCTCTCTTTGGGTTTAATTTGCTACAGCAGCTCACTGAACTTGGGGAAACATGTACTAAATGTTTACTGGTTTATTATGAAGGATACAGATGAAGAGATGCATAGAGCAAGGTATGGGAAGGGGCACAGAGCTTTCATGCCCTCTCTGGGTGCACCATGACTCTCCAGGAGCCTGCAGGTGTTCAGCTGTGAGGAAGCTCCCTCAACCCTGTCCTTTTGTTTTTTTAATAGAGGCTTCATTACATAGGCATGGTTGATTACATCACTGGCCATTGGTGATCGACTCAACATTTAGCCCCTCCTATCTCTGGAGGTTGGGGTGTTGTGACGTTTGGTCATGCCTTGGTCTTTCTCATGACCAGCCCCAATCCTGAGGTTGCCTAGGGTCTGCCAGCCATCAGTCTCATTAACATACAGAAAGACACACATTGGAGATCCCAAGGATTTTAGTTGTTGAATGCCTGGAAGCAGGGATGAAGACCAAATACATATTTCACAGTATCAGAGGAAAGGTGCATTAAACAATTATGATTTCAAGTAAGAAATCTAATTCCACATGACAAGTTGGTGGATTATCTGACATTTCTACTGAAATGGGCCTTTTAAACTTCTTAAATCTGTTTTTACTTTTAGTACAAATCAAAGAATTTTCAAAAGGAGAACATCTGTCCATCTACTCCCTTAAAAATGTTTTTAGTATTTAAAAAAATATTTCCCAAAGAAGAAAAATGTGTATATGTGGACATGAAATTGATCACTAGTATTTTTAGCTTTTCTTGTTAATTAGGCATTCCAAGAGTAGAAAACTGTTCTCAGGTATTACAGCATTTCTGTTAAGATTATTTGAGTCACTTTAGCATTCCCTTTTATTCTTTCCCAGGTTCTGAAAGACCATGCCTCATCCATACCTAACGAAGAGTCCTGGCCTGTAGTAGGCCAGTTTTCAAGCATTGGCTCTTTGGGAGCTGATGAATCAAAGTGGTTATGTTCTGAGTTTAAAGAGAGCATGCTGGCACTGGGGAAGGAAAGCAAGACTCCAGGAAAAAGCTCTGTTCCTCTTTACTTGGTAAGTGCTCGTCCTCGTTGTGGTAATTTATTCTCTACACAGGAGAAGAATTGAAAATTGATCCACTTTGTAGTGGAGAGATGTTTTATTTTGTGATTCTTTTTTGTGGGATTATGGAGGTGTGGAAAGAGTGGTACATTAGCATCATCATTTGTAATGAAATTGCTTCAATACCATCCAATGCTAAGAGCTTGCTGATTTGTTCAGGAGCTCCATTACTGACACATATTGGCCTGTGATTTTTCTATCCTTCCTTTCAGGTTGTTGAGCCAAGGAAGAAAATATTTGATGTAGCATAGCCAGCAGAATTATGAGCATTTTAATTATTTAGAGACCTGTGAATTAATAATTAATTTTTCATTCAATGTTAACTTCACATTGCAAGGAAAAAATATTCAAATTGAATTATAACTTTTCATCAAATATCTGTTGTTTAATTACTAGTTTATTTTTTATAAGATGAAAACAGTTTAAAATTTAAAGGATATTTTCAAATTTAAAAGTATTTTTAACTGAGATTTTCATTTTCTTAAAAGCTGATTGTCATTCTTTTTCTTCAACATGATATATTCCAAGTTGTATTGTTTTTCTTTTATTTTTAGATCTATCCTTCTGTGGAAAATGTGCGCACCAGTTTAGAAGGATATCCTGGTAATTCTTTGGGAGACTGTCTCAGTTGTGTTTTATGTATATTTCATGAATGTCCTGGTAAACTTTTACTAGTATTGGTTAGAAATTTGGAGATGGTTTTCACTTAACTATATAAGGATCACAGAAATAGGTAGTATCAAGCTCTGTGTTCCATAGATGATACCTCTCAGTTTGGGTGTGGTGTTCATCCTCACAGAAATCCTCTACACACTGGTTCTCATTTTTACCAGTAAGGTAACCAGCAGGTTGTCCAGACAAGATAGTCAAGTAAAACCAGCTTCCCTTTTCAGAGCTTAGCTAACATACCTTCCTCTCATCTCTCTCCACTTCCTGTGTTTGAGGTACCACGTGGTCTTTTTAAATGCCTGATACATATATATCTAGGGTCTGAAATTTTTAAATTTTTACCTTTGATATAACTTTGTTGATGTGTCTGTTCTTTCAAGGGCTTCATCTGCAAATGCCTAAGATTTTTTGTAGGTATTTTATGTGAGCCTTGTTCTTCACTTCCCTTACACCCATACCAGGCGCTAAACCTTTATTTGGAATTCAGCAGCACCGTAGATAGTGTAATCAGGAGGTATTAACTGAAAACCCAAATAGTGGTTGCCTCTAGAAAAAGCAAAGTGTAATTGGCATTTGCTGATGGCTGAAAGCAGAGTGTACCGAATTAGACTAATTTATTTCATTTATTGCTTATCAGGCTGGAAAAGAAACATCTGCCAGAAAAATCTCGATAGCGTTTGGGATGTATTTGCCAATTTTTTTGCTTTTGAATGGCAAAACCAAAATTACTTACTTCACCAAGACCCTGTGATAAAGTAAAAATGACCACCCTCTGATACGGTGGTCATTTTTCTTTGGTCCTCTTTTTGTGTCTCTAATAGGCTAGATTCATTCGAAGTGTACTTTTAATGGGGAACAACATGGTATTTTTAACAAAGATGTTTTATAACTGGCTTTCAAATGAAATCTTTTTAGTTATTTGCAGTTGAAGACAGGACATTCCCTATTTGATATGTCAGCGATGTTTGGATATAGATCTCTTTGGATATAGATCACTGTGAAGTTCCAGCATGTGTTTGGAAAGTCACTGATGAATCCACAATGGAGTTTTTGTCCTTTTCAAGATGAGCAAGCATTGACTTCAGTTGCATTTCTACTTGGAACTTTCTTTGTTCTCTTTGCAAGAATAAGGCTTTTAGAATTCCTTTTTCAAATTGAACTGTTTACTGAATTTTAATTTGTTTTTTAGCCATTATTTTCTGTGTGTCAGAATCTGTTCAGCCAGTACAAAGTATACTGGTAAACATTTATCATACCTAAGGAAGGAAACCCATTAAGAGAACATACCTAATGCAAGTATAGACATTTTCTTTCAAATAACTATTCCATAAGATAAAGTAATGGAAGTAGTTTTTTCCTGTTAACCTTCTTGCTGTTTATTATAGACTTTCCTCTTAGTGAAGGATCCTAAAATTCTATTTCATAATTTTTATTGTTTTATTTTTCTTTTAAAAGCTGGGGGCTCTCTTCCCTATAGCATCCAGACAGCTGAAAAACAGAATTGGCTGCATTCCTATTTTCAGTAAGTAATTGGTTTAGACTGCTGCTATTGCTTCTTTAGGAATTAGAATGTTATTTATGTCACTTTTTTTTTTTAAGGAACTTTATGTAATATAGCTATATTCTTTCATCTACATATGTTGGTGATGGAAATAATTTAAAACAAGGTTTTGAAAATTTTTTTTTTGGATAGGTTTTTAATACCAAAGAGGAAAATTTATTGCTGTGAGGTTTCTATTTAAATATTGGCATGCCAAGAAAGACAAATAAAAGATCATATTGGGTAGTTTAGAATTTACATAAGCAGCATTTTAGTCCATTTTTCCAAAATATAAAGTATGATTATTCTGTCTATACCATCACGTGTGGCTGCAAGCTTGGTGAGGGCAGATCCTATGCTGTTGTCTCCTGAGGATACAGGACAGTATCTGGCATGTTGTCAGAGTTCAGTAAATGCTAAGTGGACAAGTGAAAGGAATGTCCTTCACCCTGCATATGCTAGGCCAGTCTGTTTTTTCATGTACTACAGCCTGCATATGCTAGGCCAATCTGTTTCATGCTTGCCTTAACAGGTGTTTGGTGAGCTGGTTAGCCAGAAATGAAAGCAGAATTACTTTGAGTTATAGCTTTCAACTATAATTCAGTGTGTTTTCCTGGAGCTTTTCTTTTCTTCTTCTTCTTCCTGAGATGGAGTTTGGCTCTTGTTGCCCAGGCTGGAGTGCAATGCTGCGAGCTTGGCTCACTGCAACCTCTGCCTCTTGGGTTCAAGTGATTCTCCTGCCTCAGCCTTCTGAATAGCTGGGATTACAGGCATGCACCACCACGCCCAGTTAATTTTGTATTTTTAGTAGAGACAGGGTTTCTCCATGTTGGTCAGGTTGGTCTCAAACTCCTGACCTCGGGTGATCCTCCTGCTTTAGCCTCCCAAAATGTTGGGATTACAGGTGTGAGCCACCGCGCCCAGCTGGAGCTTTTCTTTAATGCTTTCTTGAGATGTTTTTCCTCATAGAGGACGTGTCTTTATATTGAATTCCTTTCAGTATTATATTATTAGATTCACTTGAATGAAGGCAGTGATGGTACCTACCTAAACCTGACTAAGTTTTCCACAGACGATCTGTTAATCTGGAGGGACCATCCTCTTATAAGTCAGGCTTGTTGCCTCATGATATAGGTTCCCATAGAACCATAGTCTGAAGTACTGGAAACAGAAACCAAACTCAGATTTGTGAATGTCAGTATTTGACTGAAGTATTCCTGACTTCTGCCTCTGCTTTTCAACATTCATTTTCTTCATATACTATTTGTATTGTGCCTATTTTGTATTTTGTTTCATTCAACAAGCTTTTGCTGAGCCTCTACTCATAACATACCATGGGAGCATGATTATTCCCTTTAAGGAGCTCACAGTTAGGCCAGGGTACATGTGCATACATGCTGTCAAAAGCACAACAGAAATAATATATGCGTGTATTTATGTTCATGGCAACAATGGAAAGGCTATATGCTAAAAGGTTACAGTGCTTCTTGTGGGAGGTGGGGAGTTTATAATTCTAAAATGGGCTTGCGTTATTCGAACAGAGTTTCATAAAGTATCAATAGGTCAGGGTCATGTATCCGCATTTGAATTTTATATAGTAGGCTTTTTCTTTTCATGCTGTTTCCTAATATTAGGATTATGAACAGTTTGTAATATTTTGTAATTTTGTAACTTGCATCTTTTCTGTCACTAGCAAATGGTCAGCTGAGACTTCTGGCCGCAGCAATGCCATGCCGCATATTAAGACATATATGAGGCCTTCTCCAGACTTCAGTAAAATTGCTTGGTTCCTTATCACAAGGTAAACAGTCCTTACATTCCTTATGGGAGAAGTTTTTTTAATGTGTTCATAATTCCTGCTCTGAATGTTGAATGGGTTTCTAAAAAGTGATTAGTGAGTTGTCATTACTTTTCAGTATGTTTGTGTAATATGAGCCTTATTTAAAGGCATCTCATGACTAATCCCTTTGTAAAGTATATGATTATCACCTGCTTTTGCTTGTAAGTCTGCATGTTTATAAGATTTTCATAAAGTTTACATTTACTTCTGTTATTTAATACCTCAGGGGTTGTGCAAATTGACATATAGGTAAATACAGAAGAATAATGAAATGTTAAAATTAATTTTTTTTCTTAGTTTCTCGTTAGGTAATTGAACCTGAGGCATCAAATCTCCTTTGTTCCCTTTTCTAAAACATCTTTAAGATATAATTTATGTACCATAAAATCTGCCCATTTAGTCTCTACTGTTTAATGGTTTTAATATAGTAACAGAATTATGTAACCATTGCCATAATCTAAATTTAGAATAATTTTATCACCACTATAAGAAACCACCTACCTATTGGCATTTTTATGTCTATTTTTATAGGAAGATAAATTGCTATGTCCTTTGAAGACTAGAACTTGAGTTCCTGACTCCCAGGCTGAACCCAACGATTAGGCATCTCTTCGTGATTCAGTAATATAATTAATGTCAATAGCAACTAATTAAAGTATCACAGAGCAGAATTATTTCTCTAAGAAAGGAACAGCACTCATGAACAAACTTTAAAACAAAAGAGTCACATCTTCTTGGATAGAGGGAAAGATTTATTTTTAGGAATTGGCTCATGCAGTTGTGGGGGCTGGCAAGTCCAAAATCCATAGGGCAAACCAGCAGGTTGGAGATTTATTAAGACGTGATGTTGCAGTCTTGAGTCCCTTTCTACTTTATTGGAAAATTTTAATTTAATGTCTGTTTGGGTGTAGTTTTCCCTCAAAGTGTAATAAAAAGGTAGATGTGCTTCTCAGAAATTGGATGAGTGTTATTGATCCTGTTTCAAGGGCATTAAGGGAAGTGGAGATTAAAGTAACCCTGTGAGGAGTCTTTTCCTAAAGGCAAAGTTTTGTAGTTCAGTTCAATGACAGTGTGTGCTTGGCTGTGGGAACACAAAGAGCCAGGAAGCACGAGCCCGGCCATGTATGTGACGCTATATCCTAGTTGTTTGCCTTTGTAAGCACCATAGTGGAAGCACTGTTAGAAATGTATTGCCTCTTTGGGGCAGAGACAGGATCAAATGAGAGATCAGCTAAACTAAGTAAAGAGGTGCTGTTGTAAGTAGGCCTAGAAATATACCTGAGAGAAAATCCAGACGGATTAGAAGGAACTAGTGAGGACAAAGGCCATGGAGGTGGGAAAATACACAGGGTTTTCAGGGAAAATCTGAGTGATTCCATAGGCTGCATACAAGGAAACACAGGTTGAGATACCTTTAACATGTATTTTCTAAAGTTTAGTCAAAAAACATCCGCTGTCAGTTTACTCATTTAATATTTGTCAGTTTTGTGCTGTGAATATCTGCTTTAATGTCAAATGGCTGTTACTAAATTAAGCAAATTATAGTTATTTGAAGTTAATTTATTGTAAGAATTTGAAATTTGTCATTATGGATTTGTAGCTTCTGGTTTTATTCTCTAATAACTAGACTGAAAGCTGTATCTACTTTCCGAAATGTTTAAAGATTATTAGCAACAACATTCGTTCCGCAATTTCAGTATGCCAGACTGTTCTGGGTGAGCACGCATGTATTTACTTACTTAATTCTCATAACACCTCCATGAGGACCCGGAGGCACAGAGGGATTAATAAGCTGCCTGTTATGCGGTAATAAGTGGTGGCACCAAGAGAGAAGCATTCCTCTCCTCTACTGTCTGATGCCCCTCTTCATCAGCATACAGTTTTAGTGTGCCTGTTTTCTACAAAGACTAGTTAATTCTGAAGAAATTGTGTCAGGCTTTACTTTGATTTTTGTATAAAAGAGGAAAAGGACATTGGGCATTCCAATATGATTGAAGGATTTCTGAGAAATGCAACTTAACAACTTAGATACATAGAGCCCACTCTCAGCCCTTCCATAACAAAGGAAAGTATAGATTCCAAATATCAGTGGCATCTACCAGTAAGCAGCTCCCTTGATTAGGTTTGGACATTTTATTTTTCTGTCTGTCATCTTTTCTGAACCTTCAGAAAGAATGTTCCCAAACTGAACTCATCTCTTTTTTGGAGACAGAGTTCGCTCTTGCCCAGGCTGGAGTGCACTGGCTCAATCTCGGCTCACTGCAGCCTCCACCACCTGGGTTCAAGGATTCTCCTGCCTCAGCCTCCTGAGTAGCTGAAATTACAGGTGCATGGCACCACGCCCGGCTAATTTTTGTATTTTTAATAGAGACAGGGTTTCACCATGTTGGTCAAGCTGGTCTCGAACTCCTGACCTCTGATCTAACTGCCTCAACCTCCCAAACTGCTGGAGTTATAGGCATGAGCCACCATGCCCAGCCTAGATGGAGATTCCTTTTCCGAGCATTCTTCTTTGCCCTTGTGGTACCTATCTCTTATTACCAGGCTTAAAGCCTGAATGTCCTCTTTCACTGTTTCTTCAAGTGTTCAGCGAACATTTACTGAGGTCCTCCTGTGTATGCCAGACACTCAGGATAAAACAGAAGATTTAGATAGTGCTTTTTAGATGCTCACTGTCTCTGATGTGAGGAGCCAAACACAGAAATAATTAGAATAGGAAGAGACTAATTCTGTACTTGAGGTGGACACATGGATGCTTTGGAAATAGCTATCAAAGCCTATTTATCTTTGAAATGTTTCAAAAGTTTCCTCTTCCAGTCCTTGCAATTACCAGGTCAGAAACTTATCACCTGGAGTTCTGAAAGGGTCTCTTATCTGTTATCTCATCATATGAATGTTCTTCACAGACCACTCATCCTGGTTGCCCATGCCAGTTCACCTTTCTGAAACGTAGATTTTCCTCATTGTCCCATGTTCAGAATTCCCCATGTCCTATAGGCTGATATACAGATTCCTCAGTTTGGAAGTCATGCCCTAGCCACACAATTTTCATCATTTGTATTCATTAATCCCAGTAGGAACTTTGAGAAGAAGCCAGGCTAGCCTCCTTTGCCCCTGAAGTCATTCAGCCAGCAGCCAATGTAGTTTCCTCTCCTGATCTTTTCATCCCTTCTCTCTGTCTCTCCAGTTGTTCTCATCTTTTAAGAGTCATGTTCAGGTTCTGTCTTCTCCTGGAGCCTCTTTCAGTCTCTGCTCATCCCGCCATGTCCAGATCCTTAGATCCATGTGGAGCTCACAGCTCCTACCTCACTATTTTGTCTCTTCTTTTAGAGAATAAACATGAGCTTTAGCATTGTCGGACAGTACTAGATGAGATGGTTATGTCTGCTGTTGAACAAGTCTTGCCTTGGATGAGTTTCTTAACCTGTCTGAGCCTCAGACTACTCATCGGCACAGCAACTGTGAAGGTTTGAGGTGCCAACCATGGTAACTTGACCCAGAGACTGATAAACGTTGGTCTCTACAATTGTAAGTTCAGTGTGACAAATTCACTAATAAAGTGTAATGAACTAGAAGTGGAAGAGTGAAACCTCAATACCAGTACAAGGATTACTAGTGATAATCTAGTATGACCATGCCGTATTACCTACTCAGTCCATCCATTGCTTCTTGCAGACACAGTTCTTCTGTTCCAGACAGGGCTGTCTCTCCTGTGCCCTGCATCTGCTTGCTCACCACATGTAGTGCCTTTGCTGGTGGTAATCATCTGCTTGGCATACCTCCCCTCTTCTCCCCAAGAGTCCAAATTCTGTTTCCTTAAAGCCCCAGTTGAAAACATACAGCCATTAAGGAATGTCTGGCCTCCCTGTAGTGATACTACCCTTGCTTTGAAGGGCCTTATAATAGCCTGTTACTTTGTGTGGCAGGGTCACATACTTGCTCTTACTCTCCAGTTCCCACTTTCATGTCAGCCCTCTGGACCCCACCAACCTTAAGCTCATGCAGATCAGGGAGCAAGTTATCTTTAGTACTCCATAATAGTCAACTTGTATTTTTGAAAGCTGATGGTATAGTGGGCAGAGAGGGTACAGGGTGATAAAACAAGCTCACATTTCTTCATTCAAGAAACCTAACAAGCCCTGGATGCAGATTCTGTGTGTGACACTGTGAATTGAGAATGCAGTGGGACACAATCCATGGTGTATTCAAGGACACTACAAATGCTCTGTGGAGCTCCAAATGCTGCGTGTTTTCACTAACTGCTTGTGGAAAGGATGAATGCCCAAAAAGACCCATTTCCTCCCCAGTCAGCAGTTACTTAGCTGCTTTCTCTGAGTCAGGCACTGTCTATACCACGGAGAAAGAGAGACAGAGAACTTATTCCATAGAGCTTTTGTTTTACGGAAAGTGGGGTAGAAGAACCAGACAGTATGGAAGTAACTAAACATGAAGATATCAGAGAAGGACTATGAACAATCAATGGGGGGATGTGTTTGGAAGGGTTAGAGAGAGCCACCTTCAGTAGGTAATGCTTAGGCTGAGGTGAGTGACAAGAAGGTCCTGGCCACATGAAGGATGAGCACGAGGAGCAGAGAATGGTGGGTAGAAGGCACCCAGCTGGAGAGAGGGTAGAATGCTGGATTGCTCAGTGCCTTAAAGTAGAGCGACGTCATTTGCTATGTGTCTTTGAAGATAGCTCAGGCCACTGAATGGAGAGTGGATCATTGGGAGAATATGAGTAGACATGTACAGCCCAGGTAGAAACCATGGAGAGAGTGGCATTCATGGGTAAGAGCTCGTGGGTACAGGCTATACTGGTGGGTGGAGAGAGGGAGAAACTGTATGCAACATACTCCAAAAAACCTCTCTCAGATGGGAAGAGCATGGGTTTGGAGTTAGGCAGAGCCGAGTCCCAGCTACTTACCATCTGTGAATCTTTAAACCTTGCCTAGTCCCAGGTT